TTTATGGGCGTCCAAGCTTGCCGTTTTCCAGCCCTAAAACGCTCCAAACCGCTACAACCCCTCCAAGTCCACTTCAATGGCTTCTTATGGGCTTCCAGCGCACGCAAAAGCCCACATCCATGGCTTTTTATGGGCGTCCAAGCTTGCCAAACCCCTAAAAGGCCACTTCCATGGCTTCTTATGGGCTTCCAGCGCAGGCAAAAGCCCACATCCATGGCTTTTTATGGGCGTCCAAGCTTGCCGTTTGCCAGGCCTAAAACGCTCTCCAAACCCTCCAAACCCCTAAAACCCCTAAAAGGCCACTTCAATGGCTTCTTATAGGCTTCCAGCGCCCACATCCATGGCTTTTTATGGGCGTCCAAGCTTGCCGTTTGCCAGGCCTAAAACCCTCCAAACCCCAAACCCCTAAAACCCCTAAAAGGCCACTTCAATGGCTTCTTATGGGCTTCCAGCGCAGGCAAAAGCCCACATCCATCACTTTTTATGGGCGTCCAAGCTTGCCGTTTGCCAGGCCTAGAACCCTCCATATGGGCTTCCAGCGCAGGCAAAAGCCCACATCCATCACTTTTTATGGGCGTCCAAGCTTGCCGTTTGCCAGGCCTAGAACCCTCCAAACCCCTAAAAAGCCACTTCAATGGCTTCTTATGGGCTTCCAGCGCAGGCAAAAGCCCACATCCATGGCTTTTTCTGGGCGTCCAAGCTTGCCGTTTGCCAGGCCTAAAACGCTCCAAACCCTCCAAACCCCTAAAACCCCTAAAAGGCCACTTCAATGGCTTCTTATAGGCTTCCAGCGCCCACATCCATGGCTTTTTATGGGCGTCCAAGCTTGCCGTTTGCCAGGCCTAAAACCCTCCAAACCCCTAAAACCCCTAAAAGGCCACTTCAATGGCTTCTTATGGGCTTCCAGCGCAGGCAAAAGCCCACATCCATGGCTTTTTATGGGCGTCCAAGCTTGCCGTTTGCCAGGCCTAAAACCCTCCAAACCCTCCAAACCCCTAAAACCCCTAAAAGGCCACTTCAATGGCTTCTTATGGGCTTCCAGCGCAGGCAAAAGCCCACATCCATGGCTTTTTATGGGCGTCCAAGCTTGCCGTTTGCCAGGCCTAGAACCCTCCAAACCCCTAAAAAGCCACTTCAATGCCTTCTTATGGGCTTCCAGCGCAGGCAAAAGCCCACATCCATGGCTTTTTCTGGGCGTCCAAGCTTGCCGTTTGCCAGGCCTCAAACGCTCCAAACCCTCCAAACCCCTAAAAGGCCACTTCAATGGCTTCTTATAGGCTTCCAGCGCCCACATCCATGGCTTTTTCTGGGCGTCCAAGCTTCAGTCCGCTTAGCGCCAAGCCACTTCAGACAAAGTTCGCTGCATTCTTGGGGACCAAAACGACTGGAGGCGTGAGTCGGCTAGGACGGGATACATGGTGGTTTTTACACCCCTCGTTTTGTTGTGCAAACCCTGTGTTTCAAGTCACACCTGCCTTTTTTTGCGTGTATGGTAGGTGAAGGTATATATATATATATGTGGGATCATGTGCTACATCATACTCCCCAGGTTGATTGCCAGTACCCCCCCTCCAATTCGGGGGGTCGGCGGCACCTGGGCGCTAGCCCATTTTATTATGGAAAAATAAAACATGTTTGAAACCACCAACCAGTTCTCATTATTCATAGGAGAAGCACTGCTTTCGGGGTCGCCAATTCCAAGAAACAGCTAGAGATGTCTCTCAAGTGGAGTGGATGTTTGCCTCAAAATGGGGGCGGTGTCCATCCTCTACCCTCTGGTAAATTAAGATTGCTATGGAACATCATCATCTTTAATAGGTAAATCAACTATAAAGGTGCCATTTTAAATAGCTATGTTAAATTACCAGAGGGCAACGGTTTTTATATGTTTTTAGGTGTTAACTTGTGAGACAACCATAGATTTGCTTGGCGAAGGTTGATGATGAAGCCAATAGTTAACTTAGAGCCCCAAGAATAGACAAAAAAACTGCACACCTGGGAAGTATGGGGTAAATAAAAAAAAATCGCATCAACATTCATCTACACCATCCTGTAAATTTGGGTTCTACTATGGTGTGGCCTCTTTTCGATTTCCACAAAGCGGGTGGGCAAAGTTGGCCGCTGAGAAATGGATCATCCCATAAAAAACGGCACCAACCATCGTTGAAGCCGCCCAAAATCCTCCAAGTTGGTCATCTTTCAATGAGAAAAACGACCAATGCTTTTGGGGCACTAGAACTCATTTAGGGAACACCTGATTATCGTAGCTGGTGAATGTATAGTATATATATATATATACATCCAATCACATGTACATAAACAATTACACATATATGTTTGCTGCATTTTGTTGTACAATCTATCTATGAAAACATATACATACATATATAGCGTTAATATGTATATATATATAATATGTGTATATATATATATGTATCTAATTTTTATGGTACAGTATACATGTATGTACATAATACATACCCATGAAAGGGGTAAACACAAGAATAACCTCAACCATGTTTGTTGCATTTTATTTGTACAATATATCTATATATCCATGAAAATCATCATATACCCATTACTCAAAAACAGAAACAATCTCAACCAAGGTTTCCCCTCTATGTTCCTCCACTTCCTGAGCCGCCAGGCTTTCGTTTCTCTGCCATGGTCGTTTTGTCGGTGCCCCTACGGCGAGAATCTGGGGACCCACTGGAGAAAAGTGACCCCCGAGATTTTAAGAGAAATGGAGAACAAATGGAGAAAAAATAGAGAACAAATAATGTAAACATAAATTGAGAGACTTTTTGCAAAGTGTGCGATTGCCAGCTGTAGCCTCTCAACTTTTTTGAGGACCCCGTTGAACTTACTGAGTGTACGAATTCAGTGAATGTCAGCGCGGTTTCACCTGTTAAAAAGCGCTCACCCCAGGCCGCTGTGACCTCACCGCGTTTTACATGCTCTGTCTTTGTCATCTTGGTGATCTAATGTCAACCCCGGATTAATAAACCATGGTTTATTAATTAAGGGGGTACCCCTCCAATAGTCATAATCTAATACTTAAATGGTACCCTCCCAATCAAACAGCCTAGGGGTTTATTAATCCAGGGTTGGCATTACACCATGATTGAACCCCAAATCATCATTGTTCTCCAACTTACAGGTAATTTTTTGGGGACAAATCCGGGTATACTCCTACTAGGGCAGGGATGATTCATCAATGGGTCCCAAATGCTTCAAAGCTGCTTTATGACCGCAGTAGTTTGGTAAGTGGCTAGCAACGGGTCCGAAATTCGTCATGATTTGTGTGCCAGAGATCCTATCATCATTAGGGATTACAAGAAAATATTGACCCCCTCCATATCCACTATGGATTCTCCCGCTCACAAAAACGTCATGGTTGGTTCATAATCTCATTTTCCTTGGTTTTCCATCACCCATATCTTTGTTTTGGCCATGTGTCATCGGATAGCCACTAAGCAATGACCAGGGATGATCCCACCCTCGCAGCTATGCCAAGTTGATTGGGATGCACCCCACTCCAAAGCAACAAGGGGTGCCGTTTTCTAGACTTATACTTATCCCACAATTCACCATACATCTACTTTAATCTCCATCTAATATACCATTGTCAGCTATATATATATATAACCATATAAATCACCACATTTTTCATGGGGTTGATATTGATTTTTATATGGTGATTGTGATATGGGCTTTATCCGAGTTGATCCCCACATAAATTCCCATGACTTCACCAAGATAGGGAAGTCCAAAAGATATGTAAGTTCCCCTACTAAACCAATGTTTTTCAGGGGTTGCGTAATGATTAGCTCAAACTAGTGGTAGATTAAGGGAATTGACCCGATTAGTAAACTTAAATTTGCTTAAGGACTTTCCCCAAAAAACATGTTTCCCATAGAGTCCCATAGATTGGGGACTTCCAAGGGGAAAATCCATATTTTTCAATATTCCCTATATTCCCTAAGTACCAAATCATACGATAACCTGAATGATTTTTTCCACCTTTCACTAAGGTTAAAGCAGCCCGCCTGTGTCTGCTTGTTTTGTCGTCACTCGCGACCGAGCAGGCGGCGCCTGTCCTAAGAGTTGGTGTATTGTATCCCACTTGGATTGCTGCAACTGCTTACCAAAGGGGGTACCCGGTTAGCTTATTTAACATAGCCATGGAAATGGCCCAGGAAAATCGATGATAAACCTGACCAAGGTTATTAACCACTAACGATCCGTGGGATGAATCCTGTAAGTATGAGTAAAAATCGGGTCTTGGTTCATGATACATCTGAATTTTCGGGAAATTCGATGCCACTTAGTGGTGAACTACCCGCAAATCGTAAGTGGGTTGGTTAACCCTAGTTTTTTGATTGGATTTAGCCTACTTAGCCCATTAACAAAACCAGGGTTATAACCTACTTACTAGTAGAATGAACCACCAAGCATGGAGACACATTTTTTTAAGCTGCGGGCATAAGCATCCACAACCAAGGTTTTTGACCTATTCATTGAACATTACCCGGTACTCAAGCATGGCTAGCTGGAACATTCCCTACTAAATGTGTGTTTTTCTGGGAACATCATCAATAAATGCGAGATTTTCCATTGGCATGTTTGATTACCAGAGGGTAAACCCAAATTGTTATAACATTGTGCAGTTCGCTGAATGGACCAGCTGCTTCTGTTGCAGCGCCACAAACATGGCCTTGTCCAACAATTGGATGTACTCAACTTTTATGTTTTAAGGGACCGGACAATCTCTTTCTAAAGCATGTGGGGGCACCCTATTTGCATATTTCCAGGCAAATCCAAATCATGTTGTCTGCCATACGTTCCACTATATCTTTTTCATTTGATCCGCATTCTGGTTGGTCTTGTACGCAAAAAATGCATCCCGAAAAAACGAAAACATGCCATTCCATTCTTCCGAATTCTTCCTCCACAGCCATGCCATCGCATCGCCCTTCCAACGGAACCTCGCCGTCATAGGAGACCAAGGGCGAGATCTCGCATTTCAGGTCCTCGCTTTCACCAGCAACCTGGCGACGCAGCTAAGTTTCACTGCTTAGAGGTGCAACGTGCAACCTCCCACTTAAAGGATTTGTGAGATCATGTGGATTATAAACCATATATATATATATGTATATATGATATATATATATATATATGCCCAAGCCTTATAGATTCCATTATATATGTGATATAATCCATGCAAATTTCATCCCATATGGGGGTTTCCATAAATGGTGCTACCACCATAGCTGGATGGTTTATAATGAAAAAACCCAATCTAAAATGGATGATTTAAGGGCACCTCCATTTATAGAAACCTTCATATTATTTCAGATATACACACATATATATATATATAATTTGGATCCATTTACCAAATGGGCCCGCACCTCCGAGTAGGGCATAACTAACGGGGTAGCGAAGGTGAGTTCAATTTATCAAGTATCAACCCCAAATTTGTCAATTATAAACTATAAACCCCATTAACATATAAACAATGGTTCATGGTAGATATAATTAACTCTGGTTCATGGTAAATATAAAATTCATCGGGTCTATAGTTGATAAATTGGTGTTAACCCACCAAAGATAGGGACTTAACTCATCAACATGGGGATGTTAATCAGCAAACATGGGGGGGATGTATGGTCGTGATTTACTTTTGCTAGGGGTGGTTTATAACTCACCCTCGTCTTTGCTGGGTTTATGGTAGATATTCATCGTACGAGTTTTTATATGTTTTTATGGGGTGAAACTAAATCAGAAAACATATCTGGGAGCAAGGATCTCAATTCATGCTTGGTGGTAATTTTGACCCATGACCTTTTTCGGTCTCAAACTGGGAGCGAGAACCACCGTCAACCATGTCCCAAAAGTGGTAGAAGGGGAATGGCAATTTGACATGGCCGGCCGAGAAACTCGTTAGTGCCAACCGAACCTTTTTTCTGGTGGGGCCTAATTTTGATTCGTATCGAAATGGAAGTCACTGTACAGGAGCATAGGCAATCTGACGTGGCAATGGGCCTCTGCCTTTGTAGTGAGATTCATGTCCGGATAAATCCCACCAGCTTCGGTCAAAAACCACTTTCTGGTTGGTTAAACTTCACTAGACCTCATCTTGTATCCCCAGATACAAGAGGAATGTGGTAAGCCCAATAGTAAACAATGCCAGTAAGCAACATTAAATTGGGGGCCATTTTTCAAATCATCTCAAGCAGAGGTAGATCCAATGCCGGGTTTACCTCATCACCCTTCACCAAGAACAAACCCAACCGGTCATTTTGGAAATAAGTCCTAAAAACAATTCCAATTTGGTATATATGGTTTGTGATTAGGTTTACTTCATTGGATATGCAGCCATACAACCCAGTAATAAACATAACAAAACAACCATATTATCATATTAATGAGAGTTACTGGCTTTTCCTCATCACTCGTCACCACTGCAACCTTGCCGTTCTCATCCCCGGATCCATTTTCTGGGCAGCGTTGTGGCGAAATGGACGGCCCTTCGCGCCGAAAATTTTCGGGTCCGCCGCGGTCGTCTTGGCCGCGGAGGTTTGGTACTTGGATCCGCCCAGGAATCGCACGAAAGATGGGGAGATGCCAAAGGAGAATGGGGTCGTTTGTAAATTCGAATTTTTCGAACAAAACTTCCTCTGGCCGCCCGCCTCGTAAGCCTTCATGGAGTGGGCGTTTGTGGAGTCCTGCGTCTCTTTGTGTAGGGTCTGCCGCGGCTTTGTGCAATTCTTTTCCTGCTTTTGTCGTTTTCTTGTCCTCCTGCACTGATTGAAGGGTGTATCATGCCATTGGAATCAAGCTTGGTGCATCTACGTGCTTCCGAATAACAAGTCAGCCTGTCTGCCATGGTCGTACACATCCTTGATCTCCCACACAAAGAAGGAGCGTCCCTCAATGGTGGATGCTGAAGAAATATTGAGGATATTGACGTGTCCGCGTTCTCATTCTGAGCATCCCTTTGTTTATTACAATGGGCCAATGGGCAATAGACCGCGGAGCGTATGCTTGATAAAATCTTGATGCTTCAGTGGGAGGGGTAAACCAGAGGCCGCCAAATTTATTATGCGATTTGTTGCACATGTCCCATTTGCTGATATATTAACATGTTGCATGCATAGAATCCCGTACATGTATTAACATACGGTGTCAATACAGATGTCGGCCAGGCTCACTCAGAACATCAAACTAGTTTTCAGAACTTGTTGTTTACACTATGACAGGTATAATTGGTCGTACGAGTACCAATGATGACAAGAAACGCAGAAACCGCAGAAACCGTCCAAACCGTTGATATTCTGTCTTCATGTGCTTCTTCTCGCTAAGCTCCTTGTTCTTGGAGTGTCTGCCGGCAAGGAAGGAGTGGAACTCCTTCGTCAAAGCCTCTTCTCTGAAATTTCCAGCAAAGACATGTTGACGACAAAGTAGGAGACAAGGTGGGAGACAAAGCGGGAGACAGGCCGGGAGACAAAGCCGAAACAAAGTGAGTGGCATAGTGGGGGGCAGTGGGACACAGGCCGGGAGACAAAGCCGAAACAAAGTGAGTGACATAGTGGGGGGGTTTTGGAAGACAAGGCGGAGTACAAAGTGGAGACAAGCAATGTTGGAGACAAAAGGCGAAAAGGCAGGAGACAATGTGAGCGACGAGCTGGGAGACAGCCAGCGGCGTTGCCAAGGCATTGTTGCTCAACCACTTCACCACTGCGAGCTGCCCGGTTGCCCATATTTTTTGGGTTCCACTGGCCTCGAGGGCTACCATCCCTCGGTAGTGCGCATTGCTTGGCCTCACCCAGCACATCCGCCAAGAATTCAGGCTTGATCGTCGAAACTTTCAACCGTTCCATGCACATGGCTGACGCGATGTGCAAACTACTGTAAGCCCGATTGCAATAACTTGGGTAAACCATTTTGCTATTACTGGCTCATCCATCTACATACGCCGCAAGCGCACATGTTTCTATCAATATCTGTGCCTGCCCTGGCTCAATTTGTAAAGCTGTCAAACGAAGTCATGCAACATCCACAGCAAGGTTTGGATTCAGATCGACTACGCTGATCAAAAGATGGTCCAGCAAACGAAAAGCACGCGTACAGCTGAAATTGTAGCCGAAGCTTCTTCAACCCTAGTTTTTGCCTTTTGCAAAGATATCAAAGATGATGTAAAGCAAAGATGATTAGGCTTGAGACTTGAGAGAATGCGAAATAACCATCCTTTCAGAAAACCAACTCATACCTTGACCTAACCATAGCCGTCGTCTTGTCGTGTTTGATTCTGCCCCAAATCCACCACAATTGTCAGTGCGCCTGCCAAGTATCAATTCTTGAATTTGCCGCAGTTGCAAATAAACCTCATGTATAAACTTGTCGAATACCCATCGACATCGAGAAAGATTACCTTCCCTGTGGCTGTTTTGGGGCATTGTCATGCTGCCCGGATTTTGAGCATCCACTTTTGAAACTTCTGGCTGGGCTCAGCAGCAGCGAAAGGTCAGCACGGCCGGCTGGAGTCACGCCTGGCACGCGACGGGGAGCGGCTGAAGCTTGGTTCTCTTAAATCTTGATACTTTCAATGTGATTACTTTGCCATGATGAAGGGCTGCATCTCTACCTATTGCTTGACAATGGATATGACTACATGATATGGGAGGCTGAACAACAGTACCAGCCTCTAGATCGCCTCGCAGCCATCTTGAAGGGGCCCACGGCAAAAACGAGTGTGGCTCCACCACCTCCCCGAAAACTTGGTTCCATCCCTGATCTGGGACACCGACCTGCCAACAAGGGGGTTGATGCTAAACGTTGGCCAGTGAAGTGAATATGGTACTTTCTGGGTTCTTTGGCGGGTGTAAGAACTACTATGACCCTAGTTGCTTTTCTAACCCGCTATGGACCCCAGAAGGATGTACACATACAAAGATTGCACCTCATCAGGGACCAAACCTCGACATAGAACTTGTGCCGGAGAATCGGCTCCACCGGGATGTCAAGCCTAGCGCTGTCAGGTGCATACAAGAATGGCCGTAGGTCCGCGGTCCGCGGTCCGCCACTGCTTGAACGTGGCAGGGCTGCGCGGAGTGGATTGGGGGAGGGCCTGTTGTTTCAAACACAACGTCCTGAAGCGGCGCAAACCCTTTAATCAAGCAATCTGCGTCGCACGCGCGTCTAGCTGCTTCGCCAACGTAGCGGCAGTTCCCACGGCCTCTGTAACGGGATGCGCTGCCTTGCGCATCACCGACGGGCTGCACATGGTGTAGCCATGCCTGCAGGCTTGAACCTGCCAGTCTCCGTGAGGAAGAGATTGGCAGGCTTGATGTCCACGTGGATGATGTCAAGCCTCGGCGCAATCCAACTTGAGTCCAGTGCACCTGCACGTCCCAACGCTACCTGTGAACGTCTGTTTTGGCGAAAAACGGCAACCGACCAGGTAGCCCATTGATACCCTGTCGAAGGGGCATGCATGATGATGATGCTGATAATGATGGTGATAATGGTGAGGAGGATGGTGACGATGATGATGGTGATGGCGGTGATGATGACGACGACGATGGCGGTGAGGAGGAATAAGACGGTGACGATGACGATGACGATATGTATAATGACCATGGCAATGAGGATGATAACGACGATGATGATGATGATGATGGTGATGATGGTCGTGGTCGTGCTGCTGGCGGTGGCGGTGGTGGTGATGATAATGATGGTGATGATGATGACGATGACGATGATGACGATGATGGTGATGATGGTGATGATGGTGGTGGTGATGATGATTACGATGATGACAGTGAGAATGGCAATGACGATGACGATGGGGTTGGTGATGAGGATGATGATTATCATGGTGGTGATGATGGGGAGGATCATGATGAAGATGGTTCTGAAAATGGTCATGGCGATGAGGACGAGGACGGGGCGAGGATGGTGGCGACGATGGCGGTGATGATGATGATGATCATAACGATGACGACGAGGTGTGCTCAGGCAAGGCCACACGAACATCGTTGCTTGGCATGGTTTGGACATTGAGTTCAGGGCGCGTGGATGTGATGCAAGCCAGCCATCAACTCTGCAGCCTGAGCCACTTGGTAAAGGGCTGCAATGCTGCGAAAAAACAAAGCGCACTAAACGGTAGGGGGTCCCTGCCAAGCGAAACGCCCTCTGCTCTGCAAACTTCATTTAGAAAGTTAATGGGGAATAATGGAGAATAATGGGATTGAACGGAATTTCATAATTTATAACTGCAATTTCACTATGGTTTATCAGGGTAGGATACTTGGCAGGTGGTGAACGTGCCACGAATTCTAAGGAGAATGGTTCACCCGGGTGATTTCGGATAAGTAGGCTATATCCCTAGGGTTGCTTACTGGGATGAGCCACCAAGTAACCAGCAATGTAAGGGGGAGAAAACTGCTACTCATGTGCTGAAGGTGTATGATAAAATGAACCAATCACTGTCGTTTACCAGTCAATTTCTGCAGATGTATAATCACACTACATGGAGCATCTGGGAATGATCATGTCTCACACAGTTTTCACAGCTTCGCCAACAAAAAGGATTCAGAAAAGCACAGCAATCCTGACTGACACATCCCCAACTCCTGAATTATCACATCTATAATCGGGAAACATGGTGCCGGGTATGATTCCTGGGAATGATCCAAGCATGGCACACAGAGATGGCAGTTGAGGTCGGAAAACAAGTCTTGTTGTGACAGCTGATTCGTTCTTGTGATCATTGCAAAAATCTGCGTTCGGGAACATATCCATCATACCACATGACAATCGTGTTGCGAGGGACCCGAATGGAAACGAATTCCTGCGGATTGGTCAATAATAGTGTTATCGTAACCGTGTTATCCCCCATCATTAAGATCATTAAATATAATCCCATATGATGGTTGATCCAAGAAGCGGACACTCCCCGGTGATTGGTAAACAATCAATCATATCATCAGCGTCTCTCTGTGGAATTCCCACTTCTTGCCACGTGCCGTGCATTATCCAGCATGTTTCGCGTCACCGCGCATCACCGCGCAGGCAGTGCTGTCTCAGAACCCCTTAGCATCGGCGTCAAATGAGGGGTAATATACCATGGGATGAGATCTGCTTCAAAAGTATCCTGATGGGCCCTCTACAAAGCTTTACGACCATGTCCCCCACTGTTGGATGGAGTGGACCATCCGAAATACCAGGCCCCACTATTTCCTTCTCAAAGTTCAGCCTTCCATGCCGAAGCCAGGACGAGATGTTCGATGCCAAGGCGCAGCATGGCAGCGAAGAGCGAAGCGAAGCGGGCTAGAGAACTAAGGGTTGAGAATGAATCACCTCAGATGCTGGGCATCTCACCATGGGTCGTGAATCGAAGCCGATTTTATGTGGATGGGATGCCGATGATCCGATGATTCTGTAGTGCTGCGAAAAGATTCACCTGCAAAAAATGGCTGATTTTTGGGGTACCCTCTGGTAAACATACAAAAAGCTATTGAAAATGGCCATTTATAGTGGATTTACCCATTAAAAATTGTGATTTTCCATAGTTACGTTAGTTTACCAGAGGGTAAGTGTTGATCAAGATACCAGACATGGCCAACCTTGGAGTACCGATCTACCCTTCACCGAGGTTTAGCAGGGTGGTTTAAGCTCCAGTTTTGACTCTTAACAGCTCCTCATGTTGTTTTCTTAAAGAAAAAATGGTTTCAGTATGAATCTCGGCGCATTTCTGGTGCTTTTTCCAATTTTTTCTGGGATATCTTTGGGATCGACTCTGCGCAGTTCAGGATCTTCGAGGCTGCGACGGAAACATCACCCAGAGTTTCAGGGCTGAAAGGGTATCTTTCAAAGATCCAAAGGTACTACATTAGCGACTATATTAGAATATTAGAATATTAGTACTACATTAGCTACTATAATATTACCTAATCTTAGTATTACGATAGTACTATATTAGGTACAATATTACATAGCTAATATAGTACTCATATTACAATATAGTACTAATATTATTACATGGCTGTAAGTGCTATTTGAAACAAGAAGTGAACCCCAACGTACCTCCCACCGACAGACATGGACCGACCCATTCTGAATGATGGCCCGACCATAAATTGCTGGGATATTCTGAATGAGCCCCCAGCAATTTGGCTGGTTATGATTCTGATGGTTCAATCATACTGCTTAGAGATAGAGTTAGTTCCTAAACACAATTCTGGGTAAATTATAATAATTCACTAACCTGAGTGAAGGCCATTTGGGGATGATTCCCCTAAAATAAACCATGATTTCCAGTGAGGTCGCAGTGAGGTCGTTGTAATTTACCCGACAATTCTATTGTGGATCGTAATGATCCGCAATCAACCAAATAGATCCGGTGGATTCTACGTCCATTTCACAACCAATCAACCATCATTTCCCAGATGTTTGAATGTTTTTTAGCCCACATTTTGATGATCAACCCTGGCTGGTGGTTGGCCTACCCCTCTGAAAAATCATGGAGTGAAAGTCAGTTGGGATGTTATTCCATTCCCAACTGAATGGAAAAATGTTTGAAACCACCAACCAGTTAGTTATATCCCTCATTTATTGATGATATAAGTGATATAACCAGATGATCCATGGAATTATCCCATGCCACTGGCGCGCGACCAGGTTCTTGGCTTCACAGTGGTCCAAAAAACCTCGTGACGATGCGGCCAGTGCGCCACGGATGAGCTGCCAACGAATTTGTAGTGGAAACTGAGGGAAAAATCACTTAAATATCACTTAATGGTTCATTTTTGGGATATATAATGATGTATATATATATAAACATTATTGTCAGCATGATACTTTAAATGAGAACTCCACTAATCACTTAATTTGTAGAACATGAATACACATGTTGGTGTACTTATTTGGTTAAATAGACAGAAGTGGTAAGCTCCTATATGTGCTATACAAATAGTTGGTTTTTGAACTCAACTCCGTTCATCTTTCCATTTTGAGGGATCAAACATTACAATGCAGAAATTTGTTTTCAGAGATAAACATAGGTAAACCCAAAGCCATACACCGTACCTGGTATAATGTGATATAAGCCATCCTCAAAATTCGAGGTTTGATGTTTTTGGGACTGGCTTTCAAACATCAAAGGGATTTGGGAATGGCATATCTCTGGACGAATCTGTGGGAATTTGGAGGTGGAACATATCAAAAGACAGTGCTTACCGGAAGATCTTGAATATCATCATAGTTCGTTGAAAATGGTGATTTCATGGGATTTAATGTAGATAAATCTCGTCCTTTGTCAGGCTACAATATGGCTAATTATGCTACTGCTAGTCGGAATTTCATCAACAAAGTGATGAATATCAACTATCAACCTAGACATTTGGAGATTTAACTATAGTACTTCCCCAAAAAAGATGGAAGTTCGTAGGCCACCCACCCTTAATATACTGTGGATGGTTGCGAAATCCTGCCCCACTTGGTAGATTTTTTGTTCCGCTATAATCCCATTATTTACAGTGTCATAGTTACCAATAGTTGCCCACTGGTGCAGTATTTCGCAACCATCCACTGTAGTCAAAAATTCTCCCTTTTCCGCACCTTTTTTTGGGGTAACAAATTACCAGAGGGCGAATCACCATTAAAATACCGTTAAATCCCATTAAAACACCGTTAAATACCATTAAACCCATCATTTTTCTGCACCTTTCATGGCCAATCTTAGATACCCTGTAAAAAATGACTAATTCTTAGCTGGCGAACGTAGATAATCCAGATACCAAGACAAAAGGATTAAACTAACCATCTAAGATTGACGTAGATTTCTTGGTAAAATCTCAGGGGAACCATGGTTTTTACGACCCATAAGGGATATGAAAACCACGAACATCATTTTCTTTGACCATTAATGGGTTGCATGCTATTGATTAAGATCATTAGTTGCTATTAAAAACACCATTGAACCCCATTAAAACACCCGGTAATCCCATTAAACCTTTATTTGTCCTGCACCTTTTTTTCTTGGAGTTTGCTATGCCAGCTTCCAGCCACGTGGCAGGCCCAGGCATTGATCCGACGTAATGTCTCGGGTGTGCCCAAGACACACATACCTCGATGCCATGGGCACATTGCGGAGGTTGGTCGACACTGGGAAAATAGTGATTCATGCGATTTGAATGGGATTTTCATAGGGACTTAGTGGGTAATCCATGAATATTGGGATGATTTTGTCCATGAGCATTGGGATTTCATAGAATTATGGCAGAATGGGTCCCATATCCTCTGGCAAACCATATCCTCACGTGATTTGAAAAGATAAATCGACGAACTGCCCATGGGCCCATTTCCCCATACCTGGAGTCATGGTGACCCTGACTTTGTAACCGGACCAATGGCGAACAGTGTTCAGTCGACGTGGCATCAGTATCTCAGAAGATTGGCCACGTACACCTGCCTATGCTTTGGACTGGCAGGAGCGGGGTACCCTCTGGAAAACCAACAGGCTATTGAACATGACTGGTTGGTGGTTTTAACGATCTTGAAAAATATTAGTCAACGGGAAGGATTATCCCATATATTATGGAAAAAAATGTTTGAAACCACCAGCCAGATGACCATTTAGGATTGATTTACTTATCAACAATGGTGATTTTCCCACAGTTTTTTGCATGTTTACCAGCGGGTCCCGCAAATGATCTTGGTTTCAAAGGGTCCCAGCTGAAAGCCATCTACCCCCTGCAAAAATCATCAACTTCGTCAAGAACCGTCACGAAATCCAATCTGGCACCCATGACATAATTTGAGGCTTTGGGGCTAATCTCCAAGCTTCAAACACTCTCAAAATGATATGGTCGGCTTTCTATTTTATATTATCTCCCGCTATATCCCCATGTTAAAAAAACATACCTCCTTAACCACTATTAGACCACTCAAAATCACCATTCAACCCTTCAAATCGCTATGAAAACCACTAATGTGGGTAAAACAATAATGAAGCATCCCCAGTCATCACCATTTCAATAGGTGGTATGGTTACAATTTCCAGTCATGGGCGGTAAACATGACATTGTTTTACCCCATTATCCTATGATTGTCCTGTTATCCCTATGAGAACCACTACTGGTTGGTGGTATACCTACCCCTCTGAAAAATATTAGTCAGTTGTTCACCTTATTCCCAATAAATGGAAAGTCATAATTCACATGTTCCAAACCACCAACCAGATAAATACACAACAAACAATCTTGAGATACTCCCGGCTTTTCCACTTCAGCACTTCAAATCCCCATGAAAACCACATAAAACCATTATATTCGCACTATCTCCCCATGATTTTTCCCAACTTTTTCCCTTCTCTTCGACCACGTCACCGTACTTGGCGCGCGTCAGCGCCACGTCCAGCAGATGCTCATCCTCCAGAGCCCCCAGACCGCCCGGGCTGCTGCGAACCGTGCTGAGGATCACATAGTCCCATTCCTTCCCGTTGGAAAAAATCGTCGATTTTTCCAGGGAAAATTAAGCCATGGTTTAATGGAAACCAGATTAGAAAGCCATGGTGTTTTCATGGTTTATATGTCATATGAATATATATATATATATATAAATATGTATATATATATATGTATGTATGTATGTATCTATCTATGTATGTATGTATGTATGTATCTATATATATGTATGTATGTATGTATGTATGTATCTATGTATCTATGTATCTATGTATCTATGTATGTATGTATGTATATATATATATGTATGTATGTATGTATCTATGCATGTATGTATGTATGTATGTATGTATGTATGTATGTATGTATCTATGTATGTATGTATGTATGTATGTATGTATGTATGTATGTATATGTCATGATTTCATGGAAAAACTGGGGGGATGGATTGACAGTTCTTTGCAGCCTGATTCACAAAATGTTGCAATTTCTAGGCCGTCAGGCCACTCGGGAAAAACAGGATAACAACCCACAAAACCAAAGGGGATTTACCAGGGAAAAACTCATGGGTTTTGATGGAAACCATATGGAAAGCCAGATGGTGTTTTTCTGGAGAAATCTCAAGTTTCTTTCTTGTTTTGTTTTTCCCTCTGATTTTCGATTTTTGGGATTTTAGAGTGGGTCGATCTGGATTGTTATTGATGGGGAAAGAAGCATGGTGATTTTGATGGTTTGAAATTGGGGATATGATGTGAATATTATTGTTTTTCACAGGGATTATACATATGGGCTATGTATAAATGGGACACTTACTGTGGATTTAAGCTACAAAAATAATGATTTAACCACCAACAATTCTGGGAAAAGGAAAGCAAAACGGTGATTTTGTTGGTTAAACATTGGGGATTTACAATGGGAATATCATTGCTTAATGGCCATTCACTATATTGGATATATATATATATATACATGACATAATATGGGATCATAATGGAAAGAAAAACCATGATCATAAGTTGGGGTGACAAATTATGTATCTATGGTTTTCATGGGGCTTAAAAACCAACAAACATGACTGGGGGGATACCACCTTAAGTTGCTTTTCTTTGTCCCGTGACCCACTACTCACCATAACCCACATAACCCACCCTTGCTCTGGGTGACTCTTACTCTTGGAGGATCGCAATCGAAACAGTGCAAAATTGATGGTCTGATTGTTCCGGACATATATGAACAGCAGCAACAACACTTTAAACCTAGCTTGTGGCTGAGACAACCCCATTGAAAAACATGTCAGCGGGGATCATCATCCCAAAATCTATTTGAAAATAGACAAATGTTTAAAACCACCAACCAACCAGAATCAGTAATCAGTAAGCAAATTTTTATCCTTCACTTCCTAACCATTTGCTGCCTTTTTGGGGAGAATGCCGAACATGATTCTCCGTTGAGCCCAACAAAAACCATGGGGTATTCCAAACACAGATTGCCCCAGCACTCGTGCTACCAAGGATCATTACCCTGGGAGCTGACGACGCCGCCAACATACACCTGGTGGTTCCGATGGATGTGGATTTCATCAAAGATTTGCTCCAGGCTTTTGCCCATCGCTGCTTTTTGCTTTGAGACACATTAAGACGGTGTTTTCTAATGATTCCCATTGTCTCCCATAGTTGTTGCTACTGGGTACTGCATGCTGTGAGATCGCCTTTTGGTTGAATCTCCCTTTCGGATGATCAAACATCCAAGATCTTATATTTATACTGTTTATATAAATATATACATATACACATATATATATATATTGATACAATAGAATATTTATATACTGTTTATACTGTGTATTCTATGGTTGGTTTCTGTTTGAAACCACACCCTCTGTTCTTCGTCCCTAATGACTCCATGAAATCCCATGAAATCCCGATTTCTTGATGGTTACCCTCTGGTAATTTGTTACATAGCTATGGAACACCATAGAAATAGTGGATTTACCCACTAAAAATGGTGTTTTTTTCGTTGATTCACCTATTAAAAATGGTGTTTTTCCAGGTCTCTATGTTAAATTACCAGAGGGTAAACATCTATTTCCCAACCATTTTTTGTTCAATCCATCCGGCGACATCGCCAGGACACACCAGTTCCTTCCAAGGTCTCGTTCAACTGTTGAACCTTCGGCGTAAACGCTCGGATGGGCCAACCATTTACAGTTTAAATTATCCTAGTCATAGGAGGTATACCCAATTTCATAAACCTTTGGGTGTGTATATATATATCTATATATATGTATAATATATACATATATATGTATTATATATATATATATTTGTAATATATATAATGTAATATATATAATATTGTATATATATATAATGTATATATTGGGAATGGGTAAACTATAATATTTCACTCACCTGAATTGTTGGGCCATTTGGGGATGATTCCCCTAAATAAACCATGATTCCAGGGTTCGGGAGAACAGTGAGGTCGTTATAATTTACCCATATATATATATATATGTATGTATGTTATGTAAGTATATATTGGGAATGGGTTATGATTCGTTTACCTCATGGCAATCAGATTTCCAGGGATTTGAATTTCGAACAGCAAGCTGGGCCACAAATACGTGTCCCAAGCTACGTATGGTGATGGGTCAAAGTTATAAATACATTTGGACTGGGTATAGTAGACCCCAAAAAGATCGAAAAGTGGGAGGCCTGGTAATATGTATCAAAAAATATCGTCTATAACCTCTTGGAAACACTTTTCGAGGTTACTATGGATCAATCTTCCATCACCAAGGTATCCAGGGTTTCCGAATGGCTGGCGGTACCCCAAGCTTGCTGGATGGTTTCATGGAAAATCCGAAAATCACATGAATCTGGGTAAATGAGCATATTTCACTCACCTGAATTGGGCCATAAAAGGGGATGATTTCCCTATATCTAAACCATGATTTGGGGTAGCCCTACTTAGGAAATACCCAGCATTCCATGGTCCCATCCCGCAGCCTGTGCGTTGTACCACGTCAAAATGGCCACCTCAAATCAGAGCATGGCTGTTGTGCTGTGAATGGCCCCCCCCAAAAATGGACTCCTTGGGGAAATGGTGCGAAATTCAGTCCGCCGAAATTGCAATGCCAAACAATATAAATTTTGATAAATTTTGGGAACCCCGGCACAATACAACAACTCTCAATAGATTGGCCTAAATTCGTAGATTTACCGGTGTGAACACATGAAAACCTCTTCAGCAAACCACGGACCATTGGAAGACCAAAGAAGGTCCATGCTTCGGGCTGCAGCTCATACTCGCATTGATAAATGTGGCTTTCTTGTGCACACGGCCGTCTTTTCATTGATAATATTCTTCGCCACTAGAGGTTTGACTGGTGAAAATTTCCATTGCCGCAAGCAGAGACTCTTCAAGGCCTGCATACCTCTACAGCTCGCGATGATGGCGCGCTGACATCATGACATCCCTCAACAGCTGCCTCAGCTTTGGCCACTTCATTTTTGTCGACAGCTGACCCTGAAACTGCTTGGCTTGCTGCTGTCGCCGGAGGGTGCAGGGTTCAATCCCATTTTGGCTTGCAATCCTCGTGTCGCATGCAAAAATTGCTGGTCAACTCCCGATTTTGTACATTAAACATTGTCTGGTTGGTGGTTTCAACCCCTCTGAAAAATATGTAAGCCAGATTGGATCATCATCCCAACTCTTGGGGAAAATAATTCAAATGTTCCAAACCACCAACCAGGTGTACATTGTTTTAACCATCTTGAGAAATATGAAAGTCAATGGGAAGGATTATCCGTATATGAAATGGAAAAATAAAAGCCATGTTCCAAACCACCAACCAGAATTAGTCAGTTGGGATTATTATTCCCAATATATGGAAAATGAATCCAACTGTTCCAAACCACCAACCAGGAATAATCCATTATATGTCTATGATGTTGTGGGCCTGGCTAATTCATCATTGTTCCTGGGCTATATTGTTTACACACCAACATTTTGATTTGCTTCAATCATGTGCAATCCCAACTCTGGCCGAATGCCAATCTTTTCGGAACAACATCAACCGATAAACCGATAAAAGCTCGGCTGAAGCCAATGCTGGTAAACATACAAAAAAATGTGGAAAATCCACCCATCTTTTATGGGTAAATCAACGAACTAAATGGTCATTTTTTAAATAGCAAACTGTTAGTTTACCAGAGGGTATCAATCCTGAGGTTTCTTGCTGGTGGCACCTGCTTGTCTTTCCTGAATGCTGAGCCATGAAGAATACCCTCATGCCATCTCATCATATTGGTGGGTAAATAAGTATCCCTTTAAATTGTAGCTTATGTCCTATTTGCCGGTACATCAGGTAGATTAAGAACACCTATATTAAGACATCAACCATTATTTATCAAGAATTTCTCTACACGTTTGATAATCAAAAACCCAACACAATCATACACAATCCCTATATTTGATGGTTACATCCCATGTAATTTCCTCCCAGATTAATAGTTCATAATGGCTACTGCAAATGGCACGATCATATCCCATAGCAATCCACAATTCAACATGGAATCACCATGCATTCATCCCATTAGATCCAAATAGATCCCATTAAATCACAATAAAATCAATGAGAAAACATATATACCATAAACATCCCATAAAATCACAATCAAGTCTCACAAAATCCTAGTTATCACTCAAATCGGAAATCAAATTAAACCAGCTTAACATCACTCCTATATCTCAAGAAAATCCAGAAAGTATCCGATCCATCATGAATTTTGATAGCTGAAACTTCATGAACTCCAGATATTTGATGGTTAATTAAGTGCCCATAAACAATCTATAACAATCGAGAAACACCATTAAACATCATCACATCCAGAAGCAGCAATAAGCGTCACTAAAAAACACCCGACAAAAACACATACAAGTCCATAAACATCCCGAAAAAATCCTATAAATCACTAAAAAAAACACCATAAATCCTCCATTGTCGCAGCTTTTTAAATGTTTCAAAGCCCGTCATTTTCCGACCCAAAAACCCATGGCCGAGCCACGCGCGAGGCACCCACGGCCTTGGCCAAGGACTTGGCGAGATCGGCACAGCGCAGCGCCTGCGAGGATTTCTTCGGAAGATTCTTATGATTACCCTCTGGTAAACGTTTACATAACTATGGAAAGATCCACCATTTTTCATGGGAAAAGTTCACTATTTCTATGGTGATTTTCCATAGTTATGTTAAATTACCAGAGGGTAACTAAGATAATATGATTGTGGTTAACTAGAAAAACATAATCATTGTTCTTAATTTCAGATGATAATCGATTATCAATAATTTCAGTTAATAAGTATGATTACCCATAATCAATAACCAATATTCTTATGATTCTTATTATTAACTGAAATATTCTTCTGGGGAATCTTATGATAATCAATAATGGATGATTCAACAACGATGATGATCAATAATGGATGTTTAATTTCAGCTCGTAATGATCAGTAATTATCAGACATAATTACCATAGAATAATAATACCGTATCCAAATTGATAATAATATGATTATCCTAAAAGCCCAAAAACAATCCTCAACTTCCATTCTTGGAATATGATTCCGATAATCAATAATTCCATTTAGTAATTATTCACTAAGTGTTCTCCATTAATTACTAACTGAATTATCTAAGTATCAATTCTTGAATTTGCCGCAGTTGCAAATAAACCTCATGTATAAACTTGTCGAATACCCATCGACATCGAGAAAGATTACCTTCCCTGTGGCTGTTTTGGGGCATTGTCATGCTGCCCGGATTTTGAGCATCCACTTTTGAAACTTCTGGCTGGGCTCAGCAGCAGCGAAAGGTCAGCACGGCCGGCTGGAGTCACGCCTGGCACGCGACGGGGAGCGGCTGAAGCTTGGTTCTCTTAAATCTTGATACTTTCAATGTGATTACTTTGCCATGATGAAGGGCTGCATCTCTACCTATTGCTTGACAATGGATATGACTACATGATATGGGAGGCTGAACAACAGTACCAGCCTCTAGATCGCCTCGCAGCCATCTTGAAGGGGCCCACGGCAAAAACGAGTGTGGCTCCACCACCTCCCCGAAAACTTGGCTCCATCCCTGATCTGGGACACCGACCTGCCAACAAGGGGGTTGATGCTAAACGTTGGCCAGTGAAGTGAATATGGTACTTTCTGGGTTCTTTGGCGGGTGTAAGAACTACTATGACCCTAGTTGCTTTTCTAACCCGCTATGGACCCCAGAAGGATGTACACATACAAAGATTGCACCTCATCAGGGACCAAACCTCGACATAGAACTTGTGCCGGAGAATCGGCTCCACCGGGATGTCAAGCCTAGCGCTGTCAGGTGCATACAAGAATGGCCGTAGGTCCGCGGTCCGCGGTCCGCCACTGCTTGAACGTGGCAGGGCTGCGCGGAGTGGATTGGGGGAGGGCCTGTTGTTTCAAACACAACGTCCTGAAGCGGCGCAAACCCTTTAATCAAGCAATCTGCGTCGCACGCGCGTCTAGCTGCTTCGCCAACGTAGCGGCAGTTCCCACGGCCTCTGTAACGGGATGCGCTGCCTTGCGCATCACCGACGGGCTGCACATGATGTAGCCATGCCTGCAGGCTTGAACCTGCCAGTCTCTGTGAGGAAGAGATTGGCAGGCTTGATGTCCACGTGGATGATGTCAAGCCTCGGCGCAATCCAACTTGAGTCCAGTGCACCTGCACGTCCCAACGCTACCTGTGAACGTCTGTTTTGGCGAAAAACGGCAACCGACCAGGTAGCCCATTGATACCCTGTCGAAGGGGCATGCATGATGATGATGCTGATAATGATGGTGATAATGGTGAGGAGGATGGTGACGATGATGATGGTGATGGCGGTGATGATGACGACGACGATGGCGGTGAGGAGGAATAAGACGGTGACGATGACGATGACGATGAGTATAATGACCATGGCAATGAGGATGATAACGACGATGATGATGATGATGATGGTGATGATGGTCGTGGTCGTGCTGCTGGCGGTGGCGGTGGTGGTGATGATAATGATGGTGATGATGATGACGATGACGATGATGACGATGATGGTGATGATGGTGATGATGGTGGTGGTGATGATGATTACGATGATGACAGTGAGAATGGCAATGACGATGACGATGGGGTTGGTGATGAGGATGATGATTATCATGGTGGTGATGATGGGGAGGATCATGATGAAGATGGTTCTGAAAATGGTCATGGCGATGAGGACGAGGACGGGGCGAGGATGGTGGCGACGATGGCGGTGATGATGATGATGATGATGATGATCATAACGATGACGACGAGGTGTGCTCAGGCAAGGCCACACGAACATCGTTGCTTGGCATGGTTTGGACATTGAGTTCAGGGCGCGTGGATGTGATGCAAGCCAGCCATCAACTCTGCAGCCTGAGCCACTTGGTAAAGGGCTGCAATGCTGCGAAAAAACAAAGCGCACTAAACGGTAGGGGGTCCCTGCCAAGCGAAACGCCCTCTGCTCTGCAAACTTCATTTAGAAAGTTAATGGGGAATAATGGAGAATAATGGGATTGAACGGAATTTCATAATTTATAACTGCAATTTCACTATGGTTTATCAGGGTAGGATACTTGGCAGGTGGTGAACGTGCCACGAATTCTAAGGAGAATGGTTCACCCGGGTGATTTCGGATAAGTAGGCTATATCCCTAGGGTTGCTTACTGGGATGAGCCACCAAGTAACCAGCAATGTAAGGGGGAGAAAACTGCTACTCATGTGCTGAAGGTGTATGATAAAATGAACCAATCACTGTCGTTTACAAGTCAATTTCTGCAGATGTATAATCACACTACATGGAGCATCTGGGAATGATCATGTCTCACACAGTTTTCACAGCTTCGCCAACAAAAAGGATTCAGAAAAGCACAGCAATCCTGACTGACACATCCCCAACTCCTGAATTATCACATCTATAATCGGGAAACATGGTGCCGGGTATGATTCCTGGGAATGATCCAAGCATGGCACACAGAGATGGCAGTTGAGGTCGGAAAACAAGTCTTGTTGTGACAGCTGATTCGTTCTTGTGATCATTGCAAAAATCTGCGTTCGGGAACATATCCATCATACCACATGACAATCGTGTTGCGAGGGACCCGAATGGAAACGAATTCCTGCGGATTGGTCAATAATAGTGTTATCGTAACCGTGTTATCCCCCATCATTAAGATCATTAAATATAATCCCATATGATGGTTGATCCAAGAAGCGGACACTCCCCGGTGATTGGTAAACAATCAATCATATCATCAGCGTCTCTCTGTGGAATTCCCACTTCTTGCCACGTGCCGTGCATTATCCAGCATGTTTCGCGTCACCGCGCATCACCGCGCAGGCAGTGCTGTCTCAGAACCCCTTAGCATCGGCGTCAAATGAGGGGTAATATACCATGGGATGAGATCTGCTTCAAAAGTATCCTGATGGGCCCTCTACAAAGCTTTACGACCATGTCCCCCACTGTTGGATGGAGTGGACCATCCGAAATACCAGGCCCCACTATTTCCTTCTCAAAGTTCAGCCTTCCATGCCGAAGCCAGGACGAGATGTTCGATGCCAAGGCGCAGCATGGCAGCGAAGAGCGAAGCGAAGCGGGCTAGAGAACTAAGGGTTGAGAATGAATCACCTCAGATGCTGGGCATCTCACCATGGGTCGTGAATCGAAGCCGATTTTATGTGGATGGGATGCCGATGATCCGATGATTCTGTAGTGCTGCGAAAAGATTCACCTGCAAAAAATGGCTGATTTTTGGGGTACCCTCTGGTAAACATACAAAAAGCTATTGAAAATGGCCATTTATAGTGGATTTACCCATTAAAAATTGTGATTTTCCATAGTTACGTTAGTTTACCAGAGGGTAAGTGTTGATCAAGATACCAGACATGGCCAACCTTGGAGTACCGATCTACCCTTCACCGAGGTTTAGCAGGGTGGTTTAAGCTCCAGTTTTGACTCTTAACAGCTCCTCATGTTGTTTTCTTAAAGAAAAAATGGTTTCAGTATGAATCTCGGCGCATTTCTGGTGCTTTTTCCAATTTTTTCTGGGATATCTTTGGGATCGACTCTGCGCAGTTCAGGATCTTCGAGGCTGCGACGGAAACATCACCCAGAGTTTCAGGGCTGAAAGGGTATCTTTCAAAGATCCAAAGGTACTACATTAGCGACTATATTAGAATATTAGAATATTAGTACTACATTAGCTACTATAATATTACCTAATCTTAGTATTACGATAGTACTATATTAGGTACAATATTACATAGCTAATATAGTACTCATATTACAATATAGTACTAATATTATTACATGGCTGTAAGTGCTATTTGAAACAAGAAGTGAACCCCAACGTACCTCCCACCGACAGACATGGACCGACCCATTCTGAATGATGGCCCGACCATAAATTGCTGGGATATTCTGAATGAGCCCCCAGCAATTTGGCTGGTTATGATTCTGATGGTTCAATCATACTGCTTAGAGATAGAGTTAGTTCCTCAACACAATTCTGGGTAAATTATAATAATTCACTAACCTGAGTGAAGGCCATTTGGGGATGATTCCCCTAAAATAAACCATGATTTCCAGTGAGGTCGCAGTGAGGTCGTTGTAATTTACCCGACAATTCTATTGTGGATCGTAATGATCCGCAATCAACCAAATAGATCCGGTGGATTCTACGTCCATTTCACAACCAATCAACCATCATTTCCCAGATGTTTGAATGTTTTTTAGCCCACATTTTGATGATCAACCCTGGCTGGTGGTTGGCCTACCCCTCTGAAAAATCATGGAGTGAAAGTCAGTTGGGATGTTATTCCATTCCCAACTGAATGGAAAAATGTTTGAAACCACCAACCAGTTAGTTATATCCCTCATTTATTGATGATATAAGTGATATAACCAGATGATCCATGGAATTATCCCATGCCACTGGCGCGCGACCAGGTTCTTGGCTTCACAGTGGTCCAAAAAACCTCGTGACGATGCGGCCAGTGCGCCACGGATGAGCTGCCAACGAATTTGTAGTGGAAACTGAGGGAAAAATCACTTAAATATCACTTAATGGTTCATTTTTGGGATATATAATGATGTATATATATATAAACATTATTGTCAGCATGATACTTTAAATGAGAACTCCACTAATCACTTAATTTGTAGAACATGAATACACATGTTGGTGTACTTATTTGGTTAAATAGACAGAAGTGGTAAGCTCCTATATGTGCTATACAAATAGTTGGTTTTTGAACTCAACTCCGTTCATCTTTCCATTTTGAGGGATCAAACATTACAATGCAGAAATTTGTTTTCAGAGGTAAACATAGGTAAACCCAAAGCCATACACCGTACCTGGTATAATGTGATATAAGCCATCCTCAAAATTCGAGGTTTGATGTTTTTGGGACTGGCTTTCAAACATCAAAGGGATTTGGGAATGGCATATCTCTGGACGAATCTGTGGGAATTTGGAGGTGGAACATATCAAAAGACAGTGCTTACCGGAAGATCTTGAATATCATCATAGTTCGTTGAAAATGGTGATTTCATGGGATTTAATGTAGATAAATCTCGTCCTTTGTCAGGCTACAATATGGCTAATTATGCTACTGCTAGTCGGAATTTCATCAACAAAGTGATGAATATCAACTATCAACCTAGACATTTGGAGATTTAACTATAGTACTTCCCCAAAAAAGATGGAAGTTCGTAGGCCACCCACCCTTAATATACTGTGGATGGTTGCGAAATCCTGCCCCACTTGGTAGATTTTTTGTTCCGCTATAATCCCATTATTTACAGTGTCATAGTTACCAATAGTTGCCCACTGGTGCAGTATTTCGCAACCATCCACTGTAGTCAAAAATTCTCCCTTTTCCGCACCTTTTTTTGGGGTAACAAATTACCAGAGGGCGAATCACCATTAAAATACCGTTAAATCCCATTAAAACACCGTTAAATACCATTAAACCCATCATTTTTCTGCACCTTTCATGGCCAATCTAGATACCCTGTAAAAAATGACGAATTCTTAGCTGGCGAACGTAGATAATCCAGATACCAAGACAAAAGGATTAAACTAACCATCTAAGATTGACGTAGATTTCTTGGTAAAATCTCAGGGGAACCATGGTTTTTACGACCCATAAGGGATATGAAAACCACGAACATCATTTTCTTTGACCATTAATGGGTTGCATGCTATTGATTAAGATCATTAGTTGCTATTAAAAACACCATTGAACCCCATTAAAACACCCGGTAATCCCATTAAACCTTTATTTGTCCTGCACCTTTTTTTCTTGGAGTTTGCTATGCCAGCTTCCAGCCACGTGGCAGGCCCAGGCATTGATCCGACGTAATGTCTCGGGTGTGCCCAAGACACACATACCTCGATGCCATGGGCACATTGCGGAGGTTGGTCGACACTGGGAAAATAGTGATTCATGCGATTTGAATGGGATTTTCATAGGGACTTAGTGGGTAATCCATGAATATTGGGATGATTTTGTCCATGAGCATTGGGATTTCATAGAATTATGGCAGAATGGGTCCCATATCCTCTGGCAAACCATATCCTCACGTGATTTGAAAAGATAAATCGACGAACTGCCCATGGGCCCATTTCCCCATACCTGGAGTCATGGTGACCCTGACTTTGTAACCGGACCAATGGCGAACAGTGTTCAGTCGACGTGGCATCAGTATCTCAGAAGATTGGCCACGTACACCTGCCTATGCTTTGGACTGGCAGGAGCGGGGTACCCTCTGGAAAACCAACAGTTTGCTATTGAACATGACTGGTTGGTGGTTTTAACGATCTTGAAAAATATTAGTCAACGGGAAGGATTATCCCATATATTATGGAAAAAAATGTTTGAAACCACCAACCAGATGACCATTTAGGATTGATTTACTTATCAACAATGGTGATTTTCCCACAGTTTTTTGCATGTTTACCAGCGGGTCCCGCAAATGATCTTGGTTTCACAGGGTCCCAGCTGAAAGCCATCTACCCCCTGCAAAAATCATCAACTTCGTCAAGAACCGTCACGAAATCCAATCTGGCACCCATGACATAATTTGAGGCTTTGGGGCTAATCTCCAAGCTTCAAACACTCTCAAAATGATATGGTCGGCTTTCTATTTTATATTATCTCCCGCTATATCCCCATGTTAAAAAAACATACCTCCTTAACCACTATTAGACCACTCAAAATCACCATTCAACCCTTCAAATCGCTATGAAAACCACTAATGTGGGTAAAACAATAATGAAGCATCCCCAGTCATCACCATTTCAATAGGTGGTATGGTTACAATTTCCAGTCATGGGCGGTAAACATGACATTGTTTTACCCCATTATCCTATGATTGTCCTGTTATCCCTATGAGAACCACTACTGGTTGGTGGTATACCTACCCCTCTGAAAAATATTAGTCAGTTGTTCACCTTATTCCCAATAAATGGAAAGTCATAATTCACATGTTCCAAACCACCAACCAGATAAATACACAACAAACAATCTTGAGATACTCCCGGCTTTTCCACTTCAGCACTTCAAATCCCCATGAAAACCACATAAAACCATTATATTCGCACTATCTCCCCATGATTTTTCCCAACTTTTTCCCTTCTCTTCGACCACGTCACCGTACTTGGCGCGCGTCAGCGCCACGTCCAGCAGATGCTCATCCTCCAGAGCCCCCAGACCGCCCGGGCTGCTGCGAACCGTGCTGAGGATCACATAGTCCCATTCCTTCCCGTTGGAAAAAATCGTCGATTTTTCCAGGGAAAATTAAGCCATGGTTTAATGGAAACCAGATTAGAAAGCCATGGTGTTTTCATGGTTTATATGTCATATGAATATATATATATATATATAAATATGTATATATATATATGTATGTATGTATGTATCTATCTATGTATGTATGTATGTATGTATCTATATATATGTATGTATGTATGTATGTATGTATCTATGTATCTATGTATCTATGTATCTATGTATGTATGTATGTATATATATATATGTATGTATGTATGTATCTATGCATGTATGTATGTATGTATGTATGTATGTATGTATGTATGTATCTATGTATGTATGTATGTATGTATGTATGTATGTATGTATGTATATGTCATGATTTCATGGAAAAACTGGGGGGATGGATTGACAGTTCTTTGCAGCCTGATTCACAAAATGTTGCAATTTCTAGGCCGTCAGGCCACTCGGGAAAAACAGGATAACAACCCACAAAACCAAAGGGGATTTACCAGGGAAAAACTCATGGGTTTTGATGGAAACCATATGGAAAGCCAGATGGTGTTTTTCTGGAGAAATCTCAAGTTTCTTTCTTGTTTTGTTTTTCCCTCTGATTTTCGATTTTTGGGATTTTAGAGTGGGTCGATCTGGATTGTTATTGATGGGGAAAGAAGCATGGTGATTTTGATGGTTTGAAATTGGGGATATGATGTGAATATTATTGTTTTTCACAGGGATTATACATATGGGCTATGTATAAATGGGACACTTACTGTGGATTTAAGCTACAAAAATAATGATTTAACCACCAACAATTCTGGGAAAAGGAAAGCAAAACGGTGATTTTGTTGGTTAAACATTGGGGATTTACAATGGGAATATCATTGCTTAATGGCCATTCACTATATTGGATATATATATATATATACATGACATAATATGGGATCATAATGGAAAGAAAAACCATGATCATAAGTTGGGGTGACAAATTATGTATCTATGGTTTTCATGGGGCTTAAAAACCAACAAACATGACTGGGGGGATACCACCTTAAGTTGCTTTTCTTTGTCCCGTGACCCACTACTCACCATAACCCACATAACCCACCCTTGCTCTGGGTGACTCTTACTCTTGGAGGATCGCAATCGAAACAGTGCAAAATTGATGGTCTGATTGTTCCGGACATATATGAACAGCAGCAACAACACTTTAAACCTAGCTTGTGGCTGAGAAAACCCCATTGAAAAACATGTCAGCGGGGATCATCATCCCAAAATCTATTTGAAAATAGACAAATGTTTAAAACCACCAACCAACCAGAATCAGTAATCAGTAAGCAAATTTTTATCCTTCACTTCCTAACCATTTGCTGCCTTTTTGGGGAGAATGCCGAACATGATTCTCCGTTGAGCCCAACAAAAACCATGGGGTATTCCAAACACAGATTGCCCCAGCACTCGTGCTACCAAGGATCATTACCCTGGGAGCTGACGACGCCGCCAACATACACCTGGTGGTTCCGATGGATGTGGATTTCATCAAAGATTTGCTCCAGGCTTTTGCCCATCGCTGCTTTTTGCTTTGAGACACATTAAGACGGTGTTTTCTAATGATTCCCATTGTCTCCCATAGTTGTTGCTACTGGGTACTGCATGCTGTGAGATCGCCTTTTGGTTGAATCTCCCTTTCGGATGATCAAACATCCAAGATCTTATATTTATACTGTTTATATAAATATATACATATACACATATATATATATATTGATACAATAGAATATTTATATACTGTTTATACTGTGTATTCTATGGTTGGTTTCTGTTTGAAACCACACCCTCTGTTCTTCGTCCCTAATGACTCCATGAAATCCCATGAAATCCCGATTTCTTGATGGTTACCCTCTGGTAATTTGTTACATAGCTATGGAACACCATAGAAATAGTGGATTTACCCACTAAAAATGGTGTTTTTTTCGTTGATTCACCTATTAAAAATGGTGTTTTTCCAGGTCTCTATGTTAAATTACCAGAGGGTAAACATCTATTTCCCAACCATTTTTTGTTCAATCCATCCGGCGACATCGCCAGGACACACCAGTTCCTTCCAAGGTCTCGTTCAACTGTTGAACCTTCGGCGTAAACGCTCGGATGGGCCAACCATTTACAGTTTAAATTATCCTAGTCATAGGAGGTATACCCAATTTCATAAACCTTTGGGTGTGTATATATATATCTATATATATGTATAATATATACATATATATGTATTATATATATATATATTTGTAATATATATAATGTAATATATATAATATTGTATATATATATAATGTATATATTGGGAATGGGTAAACTATAATATTTCACTCACCTGAATTGTTGGGCCATTTGGGGATGATTCCCCTAAATAAACCATGATTCCAGGGTTCGGGAGAACAGTGAGGTCGTTATAATTTACCCATATATATATATATATGTATGTATGTTATGTAAGTATATATTGGGAATGGGTTATGATTCGTTTACCTCATGGCAATCAGATTTCCAGGGATTTGAATTTCGAACAGCAAGCTGGGCCACAAATACGTGTCCCAAGCTACGTATGGTGATGGGTCAAAGTTATAAATACATTTGGACTGGGTATAGTAGACCCCAAAAAGATCGAAAAGTGGGAGGCCTGGTAATATGTATCAAAAAATATCGTCTATAACCTCTTGGAAACACTTTTCGAGGTTACTATGGATCAATCTTCCATCACCAAGGTATCCAGGGTTTCCGAATGGCTGGCGGTACCCCAAGCTTGCTGGATGGTTTCATGGAAAATCCGAAAATCACATGAATCTGGGTAAATGAGCATATTTCACTCACCTGAATTGGGCCATAAAAGGGGATGATTTCCCTATATCTAAACCATGATTTGGGGTAGCCCTACTTAGGAAATACCCAGCATTCCATGGTCCCATCCCGCAGCCTGTGCGTTGTACCACGTCAAAATGGCCACCTCAAATCAGAGCATGGCTGTTGTGCTGTGAATGGCCCCCCCCAAAAATGGACTCCTTGGGGAAATGGTGCGAAATTCAGTCCGCCGAAATTGCAATGCCAAACAATATAAATTTTGATAAATTTTGGGAACCCCGGCACAATACAACAACTCTCAATAGATTGGCCTAAATTCGTAGATTTACCGGTGTGAACACATGAAAACCTCTTCAGCAAACCACGGACCATTGGAAGACCAAAGAAGGTCCATGCTTCGGGCTGCAGCTCATACTCGCATTGATAAATGTGGCTTTCTTGTGCACACGGCCGTCTTTTCATTGATAATATTCTTCGCCACTAGAGGTTTGACTGGTGAAAATTTCCATTGCCGCAAGCAGAGACTCTTCAAGGCCTGCATACCTCTACAGCTCGCGATGATGGCGCGCTGACATCATGACATCCCTCAACAGCTGCCTCAGCTTTGGCCACTTCATTTTTGTCGACAGCTGACCCTGAAACTGCTTGGCTTGCTGCTGTCGCCGGAGGGTGCAGGGTTCAATCCCATTTTGGCTTGCAATCCTCGTGTCGCATGCAAAAATTGCTGGTCAACTCCCGATTTTGTACATTAAACATTGTCTGGTTGGTGGTTTCAACCCCTCTGAAAAATATGTAAGCCAGATTGGATCATCATCCCAACTCTTGGGGAAAATAATTCAAATGTTCCAAACCACCAACCAGGTGTACATTGTTTTAACCATCTTGAGAAATATGAAAGTCAATGGGAAGGATTATCCGTATATGAAATGGAAAAATAAAAGCCATGTTCCAAACCACCAACCAGAATTAGTCAGTTGGGATTATTATTCCCAATATATGGAAAATGAATCCAACTGTTCCAAACCACCAACCAGGAATAATCCATTATATGTCTATGATGTTGTGGGCCTGGCTAATTCATCATTGTTCCTGGGCTATATTGTTTACACACCAACATTTTGATTTGCTTCAATCATGTGCAATCCCAACTCTGGCCGAATGCCAATCTTTTCGGAACAACATCAACCGATAAACCGATAAAAGCTCGGCTGAAGCCAATGCTGGTAAACATACAAAAAAATGTGGAAAATCCACCCATCTTTTATGGGTAAATCAACGAACTAAATGGTCATTTTTTAAATAGCAAACTGTTAGTTTACCAGAGGGTATCAATCCTGAGGTTTCTTGCTGGTGGCACCTGCTTGTCTTTCCTGAATGCTGAGCCATGAAGAATACCCTCATGCCATCTCATCATATTGGTGGGTAAATAAGTATCCCTTTAAATTGTAGCTTATGTCCTATTTGCCGGTACATCAGGTAGATTAAGAACACCTATATTAAGACATCAACCATTATTTATCAAGAATTTCTCTACACGTTTGATAATCAAAAACCCAACACAATCATACACAATCCCTATATTTGATGGTTACATCCCATGTAATTTCCTCCCAGATTAATAGTTCATAATGGCTACTGCAAATGGCACGATCATATCCCATAGCAATCCACAATTCAACATGGAATCACCATGCATTCATCCCATTAGATCCAAATAGATCCCATTAAATCACAATAAAATCAATGAGAAAACATATATACCATAAACATCCCATAAAATCACAATCAAGTCTCACAAAATCCTAGTTATCACTCAAATCGGAAATCAAATTAAACCAGCTTAACATCACTCCTATATCTCAAGAAAATCCAGAAAGTATCCGATCCATCATGAATTTTGATAGCTGAAACTTCATGAACTCCAGATATTTGATGGTTAATTAAGTGCCCATAAACAATCTATAACAATCGAGAAACACCATTAAACATCATCACATCCAGAAGCAGCAATAAGCGTCACTAAAAAACACCCGACAAAAACACATACAAGTCCATAAACATCCCGAAAAAATCCTATAAATCACTAAAAAAAACACCATAAATCCTCCATTGTCGCAGCTTTTTAAATGTTTCAAAGCCCGTCATTTTCCGACCCAAAAACCCATGGCCGAGCCACGCGCGAGGCACCCACGGCCTTGGCCAAGGACTTGGCGAGATCGGCACAGCGCAGCGCCTGCGAGGATTTCTTCGGAAGATTCTTATGATTACCCTCTGGTAAACGTTTACATAACTATGGAAAGATCCACCATTTTTCATGGGAAAAGTTCACTATTTCTATGGTGATTTTCCATAGTTATGTTAAATTACCAGAGGGTAACTAAGATAATATGATTGTGGTTAACTAGAAAAACATAATCATTGTTCTTAATTTCAGATGATAATCGATTATCAATAATTTCAGTTAATAAGTATGATTACCCATAATCAATAACCAATATTCTTATGATTCTTATTATTAACTGAAATATTCTTCTGGGGAATCTTATGATAATCAATAATGGATGATTCAACAACGATGATGATCAATAATGGATGTTTAATTTCAGCTCGTAATGATCAGTAATTATCAGACATAATTACCATAGAATAATAATACCGTATCCAAATTGATAATAATATGATTATCCTAAAAGCCCAAAAACAATCCTCAACTTCCATTCTTGGAATATGATTCCGATAATCAATAATTCCATTTAGTAATTATTCACTAAGTGTTCTCCATTAATTACTAACTGAATTATCTATTGTTGACAATACATCAAATTCATAATGTCAGTTAATAATATGATTATCGATAATGGATGATTAAATATTGATGACTATCAATAATGGATGACTCCCTAGGAAATGATAATCAAGTCTTGTCAATATGTTCAGTTAATAATATTTCAGTAAATATTTCCTAATTTGAATCATCCATTGTTGACCGTCAATCAAATCCATGATTTCAGCCAATAATAATGATTAACAACAATATTTCAGTAATATGAGGGATTAATGGTGATCAGTGATATTCCCTCTGGTTCTTTGTTACATAGCTATTGAAGATGGCCCATTTATAGTTGATCTACCTATGAAAGATGGTGCTTTTCCATAGAGAACTGTTAGTTTCCTAGAGGGTATATGTCGAGGAATATGCTTTCTTTCCACTGTCCCAGCACTTACATGCACAGCTCCATCAGACATGACGATGTCAAAGACTTTCCAACTTCGATTCGTGTTGCAGTTTAAATTGAGGATTTTCTAGAGCTTAGGCAAAAAAAAGGACACTTGGCTCGCTTGCAATTGATGCCTACAGTCCGATTTCTGATATTTCTGATATCTGCTATCCGCAATTTGACAGCGTGATTGAGAGGCACGTGCCAACAGCATGCACTGCAAGCGAAACCCTCAGCCGGACGGACTGTCACCAGCCAGGAATCCTTTTTCAATGAACCTTTCGATGCAAGACTGGCCAAAAACGTCAGCCCCTATCTTCACTGGAAAATTCTTAGGACCTTTTGCGTGGAGACCGCCATTTTTTTCCAAGTCAGCACGCTTTTCCAAGCGCAGGATTTCTTCGGAGTGGCGTCTCAGCTTCGCCTGCATGCGAGGATTCGAGGTCTCAGGACGTTGCATCAGAATTAGTTCACCGCAGATGCGCACTTCCGCTGCAAAAACTCCGTTGCTTTCCTTCCGCGCGCTGTGTTGGGCGCATTTTCATGCAATGCTGGGGTCTCGTGCGGAAGGCGAGGGCGCTGGGGGCAAACTTCTGGGGGTTCCGCTCGTCATCAAGTTGACCTACATTTTTACTGGCAATACCCTCTGGTTATTTAACGTAGCTATTGAAAATGGACCATTTATAGATGATTTACCTGTGATAAATGGCGATTTTTTATAGTTATGTGACAAATTACCAGAGGGTATATGATAATTTAATTTAGCATTGATTCCATGATTTCATTTTGGGGAATCAAACATCTGACATACCTAAGGCGAGTGGCACATCCTCTCTACTTGGGCATCTTGTAAGTACTGAGAAAGTGGGTAATAACTACATGAAATACCACAGTTCCTTGTGGAATATCCTTGGCTGTATATGGATTATGTATAGGTTATACAACTTGACATAGGTTATAGGCCACTTACGAACTGGGCTGCGCATCCAATTATCCAAGTCTTCCCAGAGAGTTCTTCTAAATCTATTCCAATCAATAAATTGAAACAAGTGTCTTCTAATGCAAAACTATCCAACTAGCGTTACTGTTTTGTTTTTAAGCGTACAAATGCGTACAATGACAAAGTTATTAAGCTACATTAATTTCGAAAAACTTAGACCTGCAGAATTCAAAACGGGCAACATGGTGGAACGTTGACAAACAACTTTGTTCAATTTCCTCCAACGGTTGTCCATTTTTTCCCAAAAAAGGGAGACTGTCGGATACATCATTGAAAACATTGGAGAAACTACAACAAAAACATGAACACCATTTTTTTAAAGGGGGCAAGGTGTTATAACGAGTTGAACCAGAGCCACCACACTTGGAAATACCTTCTGAACCCATCTGTCCAGCTTGTTGGTCATGTCGTAAAGCCAACTATAAAGCACCCTCAATATGACTTTAAATGGGTTATATACAGCATCTCCAAATTATAGGTCTATTGTTGGCTAAAAACCGCAGTATTCCTTGTAGGCCTTGCTACTGACCAATGATGTCAATCTGTAAGTTTTATAATGGAAAATCCCAATCTAAAATGAATATTTTTTTTTGATTCCCCATGGCTTAGGACACCTCCATCCGTGGGAAAGCCAATCATAGACCTACTATTCGGGGATGGTTTATACCGTATTTATACCACACAGCGAGCTTGGGCCATTGGGGTATTCCCCATGGCTATGGAAACCCACCAGTTTTTAGCTTTGGAGGATGGTACCATTGGAAAAGCCTCCGCAGGATTGAAGCGCGACTTGGCGCTACTGGACGCTGTCCGCACTTGCGAAATCCTGAGCAGCGCTCTTGGGAGAAAAGATGCCTCTTCAGCATAGGAAAAAAGGAGGTAAACCATTGGATCATGGGAATCGTGGTGGTGATTTCATGGGGATTTAGAGGTGATTTAACTGTTTTTCATGGGGATTTAATGGTGATATGCCCTCTGGTTATTTGTTACAGTTTGCTATTGAAAATGATCATTTAGTTCGTTCATCTACACAGTAAAAACGGTGACTTTCCATAGCGAACTGTAAACGTTTACCAGAGGGTACCTGGTGATTCATTCCAGGAAGTAGAGCAGGTTCTATCCCCATTTATCAGTGCCACAAGTGGCATAACCCTACTTAGCAGATTTATCATCAGGGTTCAAATAAAACACCAAGTACCCCACGGAAATCAAACATGGTAATGGAAAATCACCAATTTAGATCTATGATTTCCCAGCAAAGCTCCAGCTTGGGTATTTTCCAGCCAGCCTGCAGGAGTGGTAATCATATTATGGTTACATTGCGGTCAGTATGCAAATTGACTATGGGAAGGACCCCAGGGCATACTGTGGCAACCCATTTTCGAGCCACAGGAAGGTGCCCCCCCATAGATGATTTTATCACCCAATATGAGATTTTTATCAACAAAAACGGTGATTTATCACAGATTTATGATCGATAAAGTGGCTTTTACAAAGGTCGACCGTGGGTCTTTTCACGGATATATCTAGGGTTGGACGGGCTGACATGAACCAAGTTATAAATTGGGAAGCCCATCCTGCAACAAAAAATGAGATGATTCTGATGCCCGCCATGGGAACCATTCTGCTGGAGCAGTTTTGAAACTGAAGAGGGTTCTGAACACCATCTCCGTTCAAAGTGAGGGTTCCGACCAGGCAATTTGCAACAAGGTCCTCGAGTTGCCATGCAAAGTAGTGCCGGAGTTTCTCCACTTGGAGATTGATGGTGTTCGTATGGGGTAAACCATAGCCTCATGAGAAGATCCCGCAGGCCATCCAGCAGTGTCTGCAGATTGACACTTGGCACGCTGCAGCGCCACAGTGTGGGAACGGAGAGTTTTGCTTCGGCAGGAAAAACTACCGACGTTTATCCTGCATTTATGTACCAATTAAGGCATTAAAAGTTCAAGGTCATCATGATATATCCCTTTATAATTCATCATTAGAAGTATATGCCTTGTATCCTGATTTAATCCCATTTTTGTGGCATAAATCACAATATTTGTTATTTATATTATATGTTTATCCTTAACTATACGTAGTTATATCTATGTGTTAATGAGTTTAGTTCATTGCCCAGGAAGAACGAACATTACCCTTGATCACTTGACCACCAAACCATCGGCATAGCAAATCGAAGATCATCCATGTTTACAGGAAATCTTCCCATGATACCTGGTTGGTGGTTTCAACCCCTCTGAAAAATATGAAAGTCAGTTGGGATGATGGCATTCCCAATATATGGAAAAATAATCCAAATGTTCCACACCACCAACCAGATACTGTAGATATAATGGTGTCTTAATGGAATTTTATGGTGGTTTTAAAATCGCAACCTTCCAAAAAAACTGCGGAGAGAAACAGGTCAGTTTGAGCTATGGACATACAGTGTATGCGACATCCTGCACCAGTTGTTACTATTGATGAACTATCTGAGACACTGTAAATAATGAGATTATAAGGGGATAAATCATCTACCCATCCACAGCCATGAAATCTCTCAGTCACAATCATTGCTAAGCACCACGAATACCATATTAGTATGATTATACCACTAGCAATAACCATATAGTGATTACCCCAATTAGTAATAGTGATTATACCAATAACCATACACATATAGTGATTATACCAATTGAGTTAATATCAATGGTCATGCAACATGAACCGATTGATTGGAGGTACCTACCATATATAAGGCCTATCTTTTAGGCCTATGTAAGGGAATATCCCCAAAAAATATAGCCTTGTATGGCCGAAGGAAGTTTAGAAGTCAAACTTCCGACAATATGGACAGATGAAAAGCAGAGATGGGAAGAGGCAGAGAGAAGAGAAGAATAGAAGAATGCAGATCAGAGAAGAGAAAGAGTCAAAAGAAAGAAGATGCAGATGCGCGAAAAGGTAGGAAAGTCGCGAAACAGTGTGTTTTTCCAATGATTTGTGGCTCCGGAGGGTCGAAAAGTAAGCTCGCTAAAGCGGCGGGTGCGGAGCCATCTGGCCAGATGAGAGATGAAAAAGTGCACGCCGTTGTGGCGCGAAGCGCATTTCCAAGTCAAAATGTACAAAACACACCAGGGTCGGACCACTTTTGGAAGTTGAGATGTCGAGAAAGTGCACGCCATTGTGGCCCGAAGCACATTTCCAAGTCAAAATGTATAAAACACTTCAGCTTCGGAGCACTTTTAGAAGTTACGATGTCGATAAACTGCACGCCGTTGTGGCGCGAAGCACATTTCGAAGTCAAAATGTACAAAACACACCAGGTACGGACCACTTTTGGACATTTGAAGAGGATCTGCAAAGATGCATTTTCCGTGGCAGGCGCAATACAAGAGACATTTTCATTGGAGCTGTTAGGCGGTCAGGGCGCTGATTTCCTGAGAGGGGTTGCATTTTGGAGCATCAGATCTTCAGGTTTGCTGCGATGATTTCGCGTGACAGGCACAGCACTTCGTATGACCTGGCATCACTTTTTCGTGGCAGGCGCAGTACTTATGACAGGTGGACTGGAAAAATCGCAAAACGAATTGGTACGAGGCCGTCAGCGCTGCAGTCAACTTTCCATTTTTGAAGGAAGTCTCGCACAATTGCTTCGTTTTTGATGTTGTCAAGTGTGAAAAATGAAGAAGTCTCGCAGAATTGCTTTGTTTTTGACGTTGTTAAATTCAAAAATTGAGGAAGTCTGGCAGAATTGTTTCGTTTTTGATGTTCTTAAGTTCAAAAAGTAAGGACATCTCGCAGAATTGCTTCGTTTTTGATGTTGTCAACTTTGAAAAATGAAGACATCTCGCAGAATTGCTTCGTTTTCAAGCTTGCAAATGGACAGGTAGATAGATAGACAGACAGATAGACAGAGAGAGAGAGAGATAGATAGGTAGATAGATAGATAGATAGATGGATAGAAAGATAGATAGACAGATGAGGTAGGTAGATAGATAGATAGATAGAAAGATAGATAGAAAGATAGATAGATGGATAGATAGATAGATAGATAGTTAGATAGATAGATGAGGTAGATAGATAGATAGAGAGATAGATAGATAGAAAGAAAGAAAGATAGATAGAAAGATAGATAGATAGATAGAAAGATAGTTAGAGGTAGATAGATAGATAGATAGATAGATAGATAGATGGATAGATAGATAGATAGATAGTTAGATAGACAGATGAGGTAGATAGATAGATAGATAGATAGATAGATAGATAGATAGATAGATAGATAGATAGATAGATAGATAGATAGATAGATAGATAGATAGATAGATAGATAGATAGATAGACAGATAGATAGATGGATAGAAAGATAGATAGACAGATGAGGTAGGTAGATAGATAGATAGATAGATAGATAGAACGATAGATAGAAAGATAGATAGATGGATAGATAGATAGATAGATAGTTAGATAGATAGATGAGGTAGATAGATAGATAGAGAGATAGATAGATAGATAGATAGACAGATAGATGAGGTAGATAGATAGATAGATAGGTAGATAGATAGATAGATAGATAGATAGATAGACAGATAGATAGATAGATAGATAGATAGCTAGATAAATAGATAGATAGATCGATCGATCGATCGGTCGGTAGGTAGGTAGATAATCAAAGAGAGAGAGAGAGAGAGAAAGAGGAGACTTCAACCACCTTTCGATCCATCAGTGGCTTCGCTCTGCCATCCGTGATTCGCAACAACCAACCTCTCCTATAGGTTTCCTATTTTGAAACTTCCGCCACCGCCTTGTGCGGTACTACTGGTACAGTACCTCCATTTTATGATCCTGAATTTACCATTGATAATACCGATTACTGTAAACACTAATCACTATATGAGTATGGGTCAACAATGTGTACCCCAATAATTGGACGGTTAATACTAAGTTAGACTAAACTCTGTGGTCCCCTAATTCTTTAATTGTCGCCCATACCCATATATTACTGACGATATTCATGGGATAATAAGTATGGAAATCATTTCTAGCCACTATTTTCATATTGGGTGATGAACACCTCAGTCATTAATGAAGATCACTCTAGTGACAGTTAATGAAGTAATGGGATAGTGATTATTGATTATTGATGATTAATGAAGATATCTTCATAATCAAATTCATGGGATGATCCTCGACCCGAAAAACCAAGGCTCTGTTCCGGCGCGGAACTGGCGGCCCAGAACAGCAACGCCGCGCGTTGTTTGGTCGTGGGGTGCGCCAGGCGTCCCGGGGACCGCGACAAGATGCCAGGATCCTCGCCCGCATCGCTGCGGGCAGGAAGCGTTTTTGTTGGGTCAAAAACCACCTGTTAGATGAATGGTATGTCCCTACTACAGTAGGAATGGAATTTTGCTTATGATTGCTTATGAATATACGATTCAATCGATTCATGGAATGCACATTCGAGCGGGGTCAACTGACGTGCTTGGAGATGTTATAACATTTTTATGGGAATAAGGTGAAATATATGGTGATTTTTTGGATTTCTATGGCATTTGAGTGGGATATCTATATTCTATGCTATATGAACCTATGGGATTTAACCAGCAATAAATGGGATATTAAATAGGAATAGTATACTTAATTGTATAAATGTTGTTTTAATAAATGTCGTTTTATGACATACCAGATGACATTTTATGGAAATAGTAGGAATAACATAGCATTTCTGCTATTTTTACAACATTTTAATGGTATATAGTGGGAATATCATGGGAATATAATGGGGAAATATTGGAGATATAACTAATAAACATAACTGGGAAATATATGATTGGATTTTAAAAAGCAAACATGGATTTGGTGGCAAACCCTAACTTGGCAGTTTAATTCATATAATGGCGGGCGGGCCCAAAAAGCATAGGGATCGGATACTAATTGATAATCTTAGATACTCTGTATTCTTGTTTCGCTGGTAGGTAAATACTCTATCCAAAAAATAAATTGTAAGAAACAAGCTGCACAAAGACTTGGCCAGGAGGAGAGGAAGTAGGAGGAAAAGGAAGGACAAGATGACATAAAACAATAGGGACCCAGATTCTGGCAGGTGGGGGCAAGACACAAGAGAACATTTGCAAAAATACACTGGTTGGTGGTTTGAACCCCTCTGAAAACTATTCGTCAATGGGAAGGATGACATCCCATATATGAAATGGAAAATAAAAAATGATTGAAACCACCAACCAGTACAGATCTTGAATGGAATTGAAGGTAAACATGCTGTTGGGTGATTTTGTGAAAAAACTACAAGACCAAAGGATTCTTCTGCAAAACTATGGGGAAAAGGAATGGTGGCCCTCTACCAATTATAAGTACTTATAAGACCATTTGCGGAATGTATCATGGTAAATTCTAATAATTCACTAACATGAAATGTGGGGCCATTTTGGGATGATTCCCCTAAAATAAACCATGATTCCAGGGTTCGGGAGAACAGTGAGGTCGTGATGAAATTTACACATATATATATATATGTGGTTATTACCATTTTTAATATCACTGGATTGGTTTAAGGGAAAATCTGCAGGAAACCATGGTTTTTACCATCAAATATAGGGCTTTCCTGTAAATTTTCCCATCATCCAGTTCTATGATAATAGATAAATCATCATTTTCATGATCTATTTCTACGGGCCATCTATACCATAGCTATGTTAGTCATAACCAGATCCCATTTATAACCACCAACCAGAAGGCCATTTGGGGATGATTTCCCGACAAAAAAAACATCATTCCCAGTGAGGTCGTGATGAAATTTACCCAGATGTACGATCCCATTTATAACCTGCCATAATTTAAGGATTTTTTCAGCAGAACATGGCGGTGATCCAACAGTCGAGTGGCAGTTCGAACGCGGCCACCGTAGAAGTAGGCCGCAGGAAAAGCGTTCAGATCCTGAAGCGGGAGCTGGTAAAGGATGAAATGCTGATATATGTATACTATCTGGTTGTTTAACATAGCAATGGAAAATCACCATTTTTAATAGGTAAACCATCTATAAATGGACCATTTTCCATGGCTATGTTAAATAACCAGAGGGTAGTAGATATATTCTCTAGTTCAACAATAATGGTTAGCCAGACGATTTTTTTGGAATGAGATATATGCCAACTTTTTAGTAAAAAGGCTGATGCCATCAGCACTGAAGAAACCTCCAAATCTCCAAATTTCATGGTTTAGATCATTTAGAGGGTATGTTTATTAGACATAGATCCTCATATTTTCCCAACGGAAAGCGGCCCTTTCTTTGGGTACCACTCCCGTGCTCCTCGTGCATGCGATACTGCAAGGACAAAAGCTTCGGCTCGCTCCAGGGGCAGTTGCTCAAACGCTCCTGTTGCGGAGACAAAGACTGGAGACGATATAGAGAATTAAAGCAAGCAGAATGGGGGTATAATTCATCATGTATGTATATATATATATATACATGTTGTAAAAATGTTGAAGATCAAACATTGCATAGCATTGATCGTAGTCCATGACATGCATTACATCATATTGCATCATGCTTGGATGGTTTGGACTAATCATGGCCAATCTTAGATACCCTGCAAAAAAATGGTAAATTCTTTGCTGGTGAACGTAGATAACCCCATTGGCACCAAAAGACTAAAGGACTAAACTGCCCATCTAAGATTGACCTAGTAATCGTGATGATTTTGGGGTAGCTCCATTTGATTTAGGACACCTCCACAGAACTACACAACAATATCACATTAATGTTTACAATTCATGTGGTAAATCCATTACTAAACCTACCACAGGGATGGTTTATACAAACCAGAACTGGTTGGTGGTTGACCTACCCCTCTGAAAAATATGAAAGTCCGTTGGGATTATTATTTCCAATATATGGAACATAATCCAAATGTTCCAAAGCACCAACCAAATACATACACAACAATCTTGAGATACTCCCGGAATTTCCACTTCAGCACTTCTTCCGTTTCCGGTCCAGCAGGGAGATGTTGAGCCCCATGCGCTCGGCGGCAGGGCTCACGGTGATGGGTCTCAACCTTATGGAATTCATGGGGATTTCACGGGAAACTCATGGGATTTTACGGTGATTTCTGGGGGATTTCATGGAGATTTCATGAGATCAATGGCACCACATAGAGATTTGACCAAAACTTGCAGTATAACTGGCACATGTTGGGAAGTGAGGATCTCTCATTATAAACTTCATGCCTTGGTATATGTCATAAAGTATATGACTATAGGGAATATATCATTTAACTATATCATATATGCCTTATTTACCATCCGCTCATCAACCGTGGCGTGCTGGACAATCCCCCATTTAGTTCGATGATGTTCGCGAACGAAACCTCCACTTAGCTCCCATGATATTCTTTGGACTGTACTACATTCCCATTCTGGTTGGTGGTTAAAAAACCGTTGTTAATGGTGGTTAATCAGTGCTAATAATGGTGAATAATGATTAATAATGATGATAATCTATTTCTGGTTGGTGGTGCAATAACCATCTTGAACAATATGAGTGAAAGTCAATGGGAAGGATGACATCCCATATATGAAATGGAAAATAAAAAATGATTGAAACCACCAACCAGTCATTGTACTGTACTAAATTTCCACTACATTCCTATTATATTTCTTGTATATTTCGATTATATATATACATATACATATATGTATATTCATTATATTACGGTATACCCCACACATGGCCATGTAATAGATCGAACCTTTATCATCCAACAGATCCTGAAGTACCATATGTTCAAACCATGATATTTCAGGATGTCCATCATATTTCCATAGAATATACCCTCTGGCTATTTAATATAGCCATGGTATAGATGGCCCATGTATAGATGGTTTACCTATAAAAAATGGTGATTTTCAATGGCTATGTTCAATAACCAGAGGGTATCTACTAGAGTCTAGCTATTGGAGAATTTTGTTCACCAACATAAGCGATTCCGACCCTGGTCGCGCCACCTGAGTGCTGCACTGTTTTGGATCACCCACCAGGACGATTTTCTTAGCGTTTTTGGCCTCGGGAGCCCAGGTGGTTGCTTGGAGAATCGTTCCACGTGAAGAATCAATCAACCTGGTTATAACTGGGGGTTTCCATATATGGGGGATACCCCAAGCGAGCGTAGGATGGTTTATTTCATGGAAAATCCCTTCTATAAATGGATGACAACTAGGGGTACCACCATTTTAGGAAACCTCCAAATGCTTAAGAACCAGTTAAGGTTAACACATGTTAGAACAACGGGGCTATGGCGACAACACCCCTATGAGTTGGGATATGGGGCCCCTGTAACTATGGGACTGTATACATTGCTTATAACTGAAACTGCACTTCCAAGTAGGATTTCAAATATGGGTGATATTTTTTGTGTTATAGTACGTACTTCCCCATAAACCAGATAGATGCATCGTAGCTCAGTAACTTTAATAACCCCATGCAAGAAGTAAGCCATCTAAATCAACAAATGCTTAACAGACTAACAGACCATGTATCACTGGGGTATTTCTCACAAATCTGACTGGCTTATTTCACATGGTCACTAATCACGTGCGATTTCTCGGATATCCCATCTATTTGGACGCCTGTGTAAAAATTTCTCATGTGAGGATGTCTCATTTTTTCACAGCATCAGATCCATAAATCCACTGGTTTATCATGAATTTACCCTGTGGTAATCATACCAAAAAACGATGAAAATCACCATTTTTCATGGGAAAAACTAACATAACTATGGAAAGATCCACCATTTTTCATGGGAAAACTCACTATTTCGACTGGGCCATTATCAATAGCTTTTTGTATGTTTACCAGAGGGTATCATTTTCCCCCAACGGTGATGAACCGGAGATGACTCATTTTGACATATTCCCCCAAACATTCCAGTTTCCGTCTAGGTATACCACATTCTCAGATATGGAGGTTTCCTAGAAAAGGGTACCCCCAAATCATCTATTGTAATAGCTGGTTGGTAGTATACCTACCCCTCTGCAAAATACTAATCAGTTGGGATCATTATTCCCAACTGAATGGAAAAATACAAAATGTTCCAAACCACCAACCAGATAGGATTTTAAACCATCAATTTTTTGGTATCCCCATTTATGGACACCTCCATATAACCATGTGAGTCAAGCCACTGGTACCTTCGAAGTATACGGGCTATGATTTGGAGGGCTATTTGGATGCACGTGGAATGTCAGCTTAATGTCAACCCCGGATTTTGCTAAACCATGGTTTATCAATTAGGGGGTATTTTCCCAATAGTCATAATCTGATACTTAAATAGTATCCCCCCAATTAAACAACCTAGGGGTTTATTAATCCAGGGTTGACATTAACTGGTGGGTAAGGCTATGAAATTGATGGTTTGCTTCAGAGTCATCATCGTCGATCGGTCGCCAATTGTCTCCCTAGACATTTTGAAGACCTCGTACAAGGTATAGCCCCTCCGCCTAAAAATGCAACAGCAAAATTGTACGAACTACCGGTAAAATTACCATGTGTATGGCTTAAAATCACCATTTTCCATGGTTCCATCCACCATTTCCCCATGTTAAACCCCCCAATTTTCCCCCTCTCAAACCATCTCCTGACTTACCAAGGTGCCAAAGTTGCAGGGCACAAGGCCTCCGGCTCCGGTGCTTGACCCGCCTGGGAGGGGCTGCCGGGAAAATCTTGGAAGTGATGTTCCATAGCTATGTTTGATTACAGGAGGGTATAATATACATATATCTATTTGGGTATTTATGTGGATTGCTTTTTTTAAAGAATATTTGGAGGGTTCAGCTGTTCTTCTTTTTGAAGTCATATTCTATGAGATGGTGATATACATTCCATGGGAATTGTCATCGGAAAATCATAATATCATGGGACTTCGTGAGGAGTGTACCGGTTTATAAGCAACACACATAGGGAAGATCATGGGTATATATATATATACAATGTTACTGGGATCAGAGGAGGTTATCGTGGTTTAGTGGTGGTTGATACTGGACTTCAGCAACATTAATGGGGTATCAAAACCAACCACATCGTCTGGTGTCATCAAACGTGGCTTGCTGGGAAAGGTGAGAACTAGATATACATCAACATATAATCCACCTGAAGTAGTTAGCATATGGAAATTCAAAAAACACAAGTAGAATGGGCATATTTTTGAAACTCCCATATTCAAGATTACTATATTTCGAATATAAATGATATGGACAAAAACAGGTATATACAGTAGATTTTCCAGCACACCATGATGAATTACCAAATGGTAACTGGGATAGACTGGGGATTTGAGGTTTGATGTTGATGGGATTGAGGGTTAATGGGGATTTAACCAACCAACTATTGAATTCTTGGGACAGAACGGGATATGTAACCCAACCATAGGATGTACTGAGATATAATGAATTATAATGCGCTATTGGAAATATTGTAGGAGAACATATTTCCAAGATTTTACAAGATAGAACGGGGTATAATGGGATAATCCTGGTATCATATCCGAGTGGATATAACCAAGATTAAGGTAGGATCAAGATGGAACATGTTCGTAGTGCTATTCTGAGGATATCATTGGGTTACAATGAGGATGAATCCATGTCCAATTCTGGTTTATAGTTATGTAATGGAGCTGCATATGCTGAAGCAAAGGATGGTGATACAGTTCACCAAGAAAACCAGGGAATACCAAAACCCGAAACAGAGGGTACCTGGATGTGCATCCAACTCCAGAAGAATACTCGATGCTTGACTGAGATATGCCTTAACTTGGTGAACATTTTCTTCATCATGACCGACGGACTGGAATGCGCCCTAGAGACTGGTTCGCAATATACCATCCAGCCCTCTCGCAAGTGGACTTGTTGTCCTGAAGGCAATGTCTCTCGGGTCTTCAAATTCTCTTGCTTGGTGAAGCTCGGCTGGGGATCCTGTGGTGTCCGCGAGGAAGATGCGACCTGGTGATCCTGTGGTTAGAGCGGTGGGTGTTGAAATGGGCTGCCTCATTCCATCCCCTAGTTGAACACCATGAGATCTCATTGCCATTATGGTTGGTTCAAAATCTCCTTTTTTGTGTTGGTAGAATTTCCCACTTCCCACCCTCCTTTTTCGGACACCCCCGTTTAACATGTTTAACCTGGGACAGTTCCACATTTTCGTCTTGGACTTGCTTGAGGAACCTCCAACAAAAACCCTATCAATGGGTTAGTGACCAATCCCTTTCATGGACATCCAACTTTTGACCACGGCATATATGGGGTATATCACAATTGCAACATGTTGCAAACATAGTCATCTGAAAGTAGGTGGAATATGTTCTTTTTTAAATGCAATTATCCACCTTTTAGATATGTTTTTTTGAAATTCACATATTCTATCATATTCTATCTTCTCTGGGGTGACTGTAGTTACATAATGGCTATGGCATATGAACTGCATATCCAAGCAGCTCGATATAATCCCATTATATTTCCATTACAATCCCACTACGTTTCCATGATAATCTCATTGCAATCCCATTGAAATTTCTGATCTCGTTACACATTACCATCTGGTTATTTAACATAGCGAACTGGAAGATCCATTATAAATGGAGGTTTAGGTCGCTGGGAAAATCATCTGTTTCTATGGGCCATGGCTTCCATAGCTATGTAACAAATAACCAGAGGGTATATATATCCCAACTGTTAAACAGTCGGTATTTCCATAAATTGGGAATTTCATAATCCCAACTGACGAACTCATATTTTTCAGAGGGGTAGGTACACCACCAACCAAAAAAAGAGAAATGGAACACCTGGAAATATCTATGAAATATCAGCTAGAAGCACCTGTAGGGATGGCAATAGCCCATACCCTCCGGTAATGGCGTACAGTTTGCTACTGTTTAAATGGCGGAGTTCGTTGATTTACCTATGAAAGATGATGAATTTCCAGTTCGCAAACTGTTAGCCATTGGCGATTCACTAACTGAAAATCCCATTAAATCCCATGAAAAATCACCATTAAATCCCATCAAACATCACCATTTTCAATAGTCTTACTGGTGCTTAGCAGGGAATGAGGGAATGATCCACAATCACTGGTGATAATCATCCCATTCCCATATTCCCTACTAAGCATCAGTAATTAAGTAGTTTTTTGTATGTTTACCAGAGGGTCGTTGGCATCCGCGCCTCATCCAACACCACTTGTAGAAGTTCCGGCGCCCCTTGGCCCTGGTGCCGCCGATGTTTATCGGTGCCGCAAACTTCCTATCCCAACACCGGGAACAACTGGATATAACGCGCTTTATGGTAGGTATATGGAGGTTTCCTAAAATGGGGTTACCCCAAAATGGATGGTTTGTAATGGAAAATCCTACTAAAATGGATGATTTAGGAGTACCACCATTTTAGGAAACCTCCATATCTAGACTTCAGTGGTTTATGAAACAACTTAGTGGAATTCAAACACTAACGATGGGAAGTAGTAATTGGGATGTAAACCATTGATTGCCATTGATACAATGGGCATGTGTTCATGGGTATTCATTAATGGGATATAATGTATAAGGGGACGTAATGGCTAGCGGCACTGATGTGGTCCTTGGGTCAAAAGCCTTCATACCCTCTGGCTTAGGAGTTACTTCAAGTGGGGCATTCCAGAGTCACCATGGGTTTCAATACTATAGTTTGGTCTAATTTTGGATGATGTGGGGTACCCCATGGTACCCTCCCATTTTAGGAAACCTCCAACTATTATCCCAGGAAGGGTGGAAAAACCTTATTGAAACTGACATAAAGCAACTTAGCAAACTAAGTGGCACCGCGGTACCTGGTATATATCAACTTTTTATCCCCACGTATCCCAATATAACAGTGAAATAAGAATTACCCTCTGGCAATTTCACAGTTTGTGAGGTGGAACATCACCACTCTTAATAGCTAAATCATAAAACTAAATAACATTGGTTTCAATACCTATGTTTGTTTACCGGGAACAAAGAAACATATATGCTATAACAACTATTCCCTACAGATTCCCCAGTCGTAGTGGATATCCCCGTTTTTCCCATCACAGCGATTGTAAAGCAGCTCCAACTGAACCTTGAATATACCTTGAAAATAAGTCGTTTAAATACGTCCTGTAATGCGTCCTGAATATACCTTTTATATGCAATGTAATATACCTTAAGTAAACCTTTAAATCCATTTCTATTGGCCATGTTCTGGAATCTAATACACCTTTAGGATACCTTTACTTGACCTTGATTGAAGATACTTTTCGTATGCCTTGAAGATACCTTCAATATATATACCTTCAATGTACCATTTGATATGCCTTTAGCATACCATTTAACAACATTACCTTGAATATATGATATATATGTTTAATATACCTTTAACATACCTTTAAGAAATCTTCAATATCCTTTGGCATTCCTTTTGAAATACATTTGATTTTGATATATAAACCCCATCAACTATAATTTCATAGTTATATCCCCATACACCATAGTTACAGTACCCAAGTTACAAGTCAACTTAGCAAACTCAGGGGCCTATCACGCCGCTTTGGTATGTATTTAAATGCAACTCGATGGAAACAAGTGGTTCTATATTTGTATATTTATACCACCCATTGGCTTTTATACATATGTACACGCACACACACACACATATATATATATATATATGCATGTATCCCCATTCATTCCATCATATATCCTAGGGTAAACGTTTGCATAGATGTGGAAAACGCATGGGAAAACCAAGGAAAATCGTCTACAAATGGTTGATTTTCCATTTGCAGGAGGGTATAACAATAACAAAGTTTATCCATAGTATTGTTGATTCTGAATTGCTTTATAATATTGTTGTGTTGTGTTGGTTTTGCTGTGCTTTTATCGTATTTTCTAGCAGTTTTTTGGATCAAAAACAGCATCGTATCAACAAATCATATCACATTTTGTGTTGTTGATATTGTTTCCCTGTTCATGGGTTGTGACATTCACATTCCGCATTTTTTTTTGGCCGCTATAATCCTCAAGCTCATAATCAACCAACAAACATTTTGCACAGAAGATTATCAACAGAAGATGATTATAAGATAATCTTCTGTTGAACCATAATCTTCTGTTACAATCATCATCTTTTGTTTTGTAATTAGAACAACCATTAACTGTATATATATATATATAAATCTGTATATATGTATACATATGTATCCCTATTTATTCCATTGTATAACACATTTTATCCCACTATGTTAAGAGAGTGGGTATGCATGGGGGGTGGAGTTGTGAAAGGTCTGATTTTGCAAGGTTTTGAACCTATTATTGCAATTATGCATGAATTGGTGTGGTTTATGAGATGGTCATGCTACATTTCAAACCAGGGGTGATCCCTCTGTATCATCACCCCTAGGGTAACCATGGGTTTTCCGCATCCATCTTAGTGCACCCTAAGGTATGAATCCACTTGTGTTTGTTACTACCTAAACATATTCGAACAAATAAATAAATAAATGAATAAATAAATAAATATATACACATATACATATACATATACATATGCATATTCATATATAATATATACACACATATTTATATCCCCATTTCTCCCATAAGAAAACCCATCGCCCTCCGCACCTGCAAGGCCGCGCTGAGGCCTCCGCGTCGCGCAGAGATGCAGGTCGCGAAGACCACATCGGCACGTCGCAGCTCTGCGAGGCGGGCTTGGCTCAGCGCCAGGTAGTACCTTAGGGGCCCTAGGGGGGAGGACCTGGTGAGTGATGGTTTTATGGTACGTTAATGGTGCTTCATGTTTTTACTGGGTTTTGATGGGGTGTTTCATGTAGTTCAATGGCTTTTTAATAGTGTTTTAATGGTTTCTTAATTGATTTTTATGGTGTTCAATGTCTTTTCAACTGATTTTTAAGGCGTTTAATGGGCTAGATCGCTACAGAAGGGTACCTGCTTAGCTAAAGGGCAAAGGACAAAGAATTTGTTGGTATTTCCTCAAATGGTGATTTTGAATGGTTTTTATTGTGTTTATTCGTGGTTTAGGATGGTTGTCAACTGCTTCAATTGAGGAATTGAAAACCACATCAAAATATGTGGCTGCTGAAACAAACTGGATATTTCGCCAGCAGGAATGAACAGCTTAAGGAATGAAACTCTGAGGAGATTGGGAGTTTGATTTTCCAATGAATAGGGCTTTAAGCCAAGAATTTGTTGAGGTGGAGGACGAGAACACTGGGGACATTCAATCAATAAGAACGGGATATTAAATAATGTGATTGTGGGTAGAACCCATCAGGAAGCCCCTACCAAAATGGTGAGCAATCAAACTCTCATGGCATTGGGAAATCAATTCATAGTTCCAACTGGCTGCCCATGGTTAATCCGCCGGCCTGCCGGCGTGTCTGATTGGAAGGTGTTGTTCTTGTTTCTGTTCTTGGCTTGTACTTGTTCCTTTGTTCTCTTGCTGTGCGTTTTTGCTTCGTCTGAATGAAGGTCACCCCCCCTAGTCCTAGTACTGGTACTACTACTACTACTACTGCTACAACTACTCCTACTACTGCTGCGAGTACTACTACTACTACTACTACTACCACTACCACTACCACTTACTACCTACTACCTACTACCTACTACCTGCTACCTACTACCTACTACCTACTACCACTACTACCTACTACCACTACTGCCACTACTGCCACTACTGCTACTACTGCCACTACTGCTACTACTGCTACTACTGCTACTACTGCTACTACTGCTACTACTGCTACTACTGCTACTACTACTACTACTGCTACTACTACTACTACTACTACTACTACTCCTGCTACTACTACTACTACTACCACTACCTACTACCTACTACCTACTACCTACTACCTACTACTACCTACTACTACCTACTACTACCTACTACTACCTACTACTACCTACTACTACCTACTACTACCTACTACTACCTACTACTAACTGCTACCTCCTACTACCCCCTACTACCTCCTACTACCTCCTACTACCTCCTACTACCTCGTGCTACCTCCTACTACCTCCTACTACCTCCTACTACCTCCTACTACCTCCTACTACCTCCTGCTACCTCCTACTACCCCCGACTACCTACTACTACCTACTACTACCTACTACTCTACTACTACCTACTACTACCTACTACTA